CCAAAAGCTTTATCAGAATCACTGCTCAGTGTTTAATCAGCTCTTCATGTGCTATGGACAAATGCCTTACAGAAATCCCTTATCTATCTCTGATGAGCCAAAATTCCTTGTTTTTTTCCCTCATGCTTCCCCCTCCACCTGCCTCCCCCCCCCCCACCTCCCACCTTGGAGGTATGAAATTTTGTTTTCTGCCTATTTTACAGACAGGGAATTGATACAGAGATTTGAGGAGGAAACAATATGAGAGACAGATTTTTTAAGGCTTTTAAGTCACCAATAAACTCTGAAACAGACAGTGTATAATGTTTGCATGTGGGGAGAAAAACAAGGCAGGGTCTTTTTTCTAAAATAAAAAAGGAGCTTTGATATGCTTCAGCCTGCTGATTCAAGCAGCACTACCATACATCAGGCCTTTAAACACAGGCAGAAATGTCCTTCAATGGAATTTAAAGGCTCCTACATTGCTCATACCTCCTTGAAAAAAATCCACACTGGACAATAACTCAAACTGGAGTTTGACCTGTTCAGAGAGAAAAAGCAAATTGAGATGGTATGGTAAGGTCTTTGAATAGCATGAACACGTGTACTACAGCCTCAGGTGCTGTATCAGTCTCTCAGAAGCATCATGGGTGCTTTACCCCAGTCATGTTCATTCACAAGACGTAGAGGATCGCTGAATGTAAACACACCAACACATTTGGGAATGTGCTACTGAGAATGGAGAAAGCAGCAGGCAGCGGAGGAACTCTGTGGTGGGAAAGGAGACAGAGAGCCTCCCACCATGCAGACAGAAGCAGAGAGGTCAGTATCACTTGGGAAGTGTAGGAGCATCCCTCCTGCAAGGAGGAGACTTCAAGACATTTTTCAGAAAGCTGGCAGTTTTTCAGAGAGTGCTGATCATAAGTGCCTGAGGTAAGTCTCTTGCCCTTCGACATGGAATGGATAACATCATTTAATGAAGTTCTGAATTATTAACGAGATTTTAAAAGACCACAATATTACTTGGGAATAAAACAGGGAAGCAGACCTCCTAGGATATCAACATATCTAGTTTTTGTTGGTATTCCAAACAGACATCATTATCTTGCTTAGAAATGTATCTTGGGTGTATAGTTAATGGCAATCCTCACTCCCTCTTATGCTGTGCACTCAGCCCTTCCACTAATTTGCCCAGGACTGACACTGTCTTAAGTGTTCAACAATTTCACAAGCCATGCCATTCTCATCCTATAAATGTCAGTGCACTGGTACATTCCCCAAGATCCTTCAGTCCAAGATCTCTGCAAAACAAAACCAAAAGAACAAAACCCCACCTGAACATTTTGTGTTCTCACATCTCCTCAGCTGGTTCTTTTCACTTTCCTTGTTGATTCACAAATCTAAGTCTATTATAATGTCAGTACAAATGTTATCCTCCCTCCAAGCCAGGATTTCAGCCATGCCCTAACCTCAGCTCCCCCTTCTCTACTCTACAGTCTCTACAAGGAAATAAAACAAACCACTTTTGTCTTTTTAAAGTCCCCCCAGCTGTTTCCTGCACTTCCTAACTTCTGTGACAGGACACAGGATTGTTTCTTCTCGCCACTTCCAGAGTTACTGCTGTTTGTATGCAAAGATATTTTCTAAACTTCCTTTCCATCATTCTTTTTGAAGGACAAGAGATTCCACTGGATACCAAAGAATGAGAAAATCACAATATCTTCCTTGACAGTGATGGATTTTTCAGGGAGATATTTACATTCTTAACCATGACCTGGAAATTGATTTTTCTGATTGTGTTCAGATTGTTCAAAGTCAGGTTGATCTACTGGAAGGTGTCCCTGCCAGTGGCAGGAGGGGTGAACTAGATGATCTCTAAGGGTCTCCTCTAACTTAAACAGTTCTATCATTCTGTGATTGTATCTTGTGTTGCTAATCACAGTCTCTTTGATGACACAGATGTATTTTGTGAAGTATTTGGGTTGTACACTCAAGAATTCCATATGCATATAAAATTTACAAGTTACATTGCTTATTTCTGTGTTTTGCTGCACTGGCCTCAGCCTGACAAGGCCCTGCCCTGTCACTGAAGCCTTTCTGTGGTATTATATTACAATGATTGAAATCTGACTCATACCACACGTTCTCCTGGATCCAATTCTTACCAAATTGTCCTAGATTAGCAGATGAATCCAGCCCCCGACTCTCACAGTGACTGAGAGCAACAGAACAGCATCAATAATGTTAGAACCAAATATTTTGGATAGCAGTATTTTTAAGGTGGAGTCCTAGTACTTAGCACAACACAGATCTGTAACCTTTTCATCATTCCTAGAACTGTTCCCAGCTGCAAGGAGATACAGAGACTGTGCTGCAACTGATAGCCTTCAGCATGCATCCAAGTGGTTAAGAAAGCAGAACAGCGCTTCGTTATAGGAAGAAGCACAGAGTTTGTGTTGCTGAGTCAGCCGATAGAAAGACCCAAACTTCTCTGGCCCACCTAAATTGAAACTGCCATCTGGATACTATGGATACAGAATACCTCCCTGTGAGAGCAGTACCTCCCATTTAATGTGATTTTGTTCAGTGATGCTGACGTCCCACCTTCCGTGCTGGGCAGCTTTGCTCTGCTGCGCTCTCTGGAGAACTCCCTGTTACTCATTTGGGGTTCTCTGACGTCAGCTCTGGGGTCAGGCAGGCAGGGCCGTGCCTGTCCCTTGCCCACTCCCAAACACAAAGGCCTATAGATAGCTGCTGCAGCAAATGCTTCTCATTATGGGCTCCCCTCTCCTCAGAGTGCCCGTCCAGTTGAGGGTGGGAGTAGGATGGGGCCCCCAGATGCCTGTGCTGCTCTGCTATGAGTTTTCTATTATTTGGGGTGAGTTGTGCATTCCTCACAAGCTTTGGATGTCATGCAGAGCCCCAGGGGAATCCTCAGAGAACTGGGAGGAGAAACTAGGCAGGGGAAGGTTGCCCATGCACATTAGGCAAGAGGCATCTCCACCTCCATGTGAAGATGTCCAAACCAGAGGGAAGTGCCAGGTCTATGACAGCCATTGCCCCATGCACAGCATCCATCCCCTCTTAAAAGCTTTCTCCTTCCCACTAGCAGAACTTGGTTAGCTAGCCTTAGTCTGGCAAAACACAGCCCAAGAGGTGACAAATTTGTTTGGCTTGGAGTCAGTGCCTGAAAGGTAAGAAACAATTTCAGGTTAACTGTGGATCAAGAATAAATGGATAGAAAATGGCCATTTACACATGTGGCAAGAAATTTGGAGGTTTTCATCTAATTACAGCAATCAGGCTCCAGAACACACTTCCGAACTAAGGACATAGAAACAAAAATACCACCTGCACAGCACCTTCTCCTGCTTTGCCAAGGGAATCTGATACAGAGGCTCCCTTCCTGGAGGACACATGTCGTGCCTTGAACTAAGGACAGGAAATGAACCTCCCAGAAGCACCCTCCTGTTTGGGTCTGTGTTCATGTGCTAAAACCAAGATGCCTAGTAAATGTTTCAATGTCAGCTTACGGATTGTTACCGATATAGAAATGTAGGACTGGGAAAGCCTTTCTGGGATGGGAGGAGGAGTTCAGAAGCCGCTCCTCAGCTTGCTGCCATGTGTTTAGTTCCATCATAATGCTCAGGACACTAGTACCATCGGAAATCCTGCAGCATCTTAAGTGCCAGCAGGACGGGCTAGCATTCCCTGCAAGTCTTAACTTGTAACTAACTCAAAACATCATTTCCAGATCCCAGAGATGTGACAAGATTGACAAAGTGATGAGCAGCTAGCAAAAGGGAACCTGGAGGAGTAGGCAGCCCTGACTGATCTCTGCAGAACTGCGTACACATCTGGAATACAAATAGAAGTACAGGAGCTTCCTGTGTGTGTCCTGCCCTGTGACTGCAGCAGCAAGGACCAGCTGCTTCAGCTACACCAGGAATCACCTAAAAGGCAACACTAACAACACACCTCAGGGGAGAATCTGTACATGGGTGTTGATAAAATGCTAGCACTGGGCTGAGGATCGAGCTTTCTAACTGGGTCCCGGTTAGAAGTAACAGTACTGACCCTTCCCCACAAAAGTGACATTTTGAGACTGTAACTTATTTAATGCACAGAATACTGATGTGTGGAGTGGACATGGAATAGGAAGGACAGTGATCACAGTACTCGTGACACCTGACACAGCTCAGGCTACTGTGGCTCCTCTGCAACTCCAAGGCCAAATCTTGAAGACAAACAATTTGAAACATTCCCCTCCCTTACCACAGGGACCCGTGCCCGTGCCTGCCCTCAGCACTGCCACGTCCCAGACGCACTGTCACCAGCGCCACCCTGAGCTGCAGTACAGGGACGGGGCACGGGCACAACTACCGGGGGCTCCGCTACATTCAGCCCAGCGCCCGCCACTGAGCCCTGCACCCGCCGAGGAACTCGGCATCCCGCCTCACCGGGCACCTCGCCAGGGACACGGGCACCCTGCCCTGGGAGCCCTGCACCCTCCGGGCACCCCGCACGGGACACGGGCACCCTGCCCCGGATACCCCGTTCCCCGTTCCGGGCGCTCCTCACTCAGCCCCTGCTCCGTGCTTCATCCCGACGCCTCCGCTCACAGCGCGACGGCTGCCCGTTGCCATGGCGACGTGCTTTCGGCCTTCCCTCGCTGCCGGGTTAGGGTCGGGTTTGCGCTCACCGGTGCGCCGGATGCCGTGGCGGCAGCGCTGAGCGTGGGGCGGCCAGGCCCAGATCCCGGGCACTAGGACCCCAGGGTGGCCACGGTGGGACCACAGGGGGTCGCCCCGGGGGCGGGGGCGGGCCCGGCACTGTAGCAGCGGGCGGGGCGTGGGGGGGGGGCGGGGCGTGGGGTGGGGGGGCGTGGGGGGGGGCGGGCCCGGCAGGGGGCGCGCTCCGCCGGCAGCTCCTCACCGCTAACGAGCCTGTGACTGTTTGTGCGGGGTGGTGCGTCACTTCCTGCGTGTGCCTTCCGGTCGTGGCGTCCCAGTGGGAGGAGGATGGGCCGGGGGCGTCCTGGAGCCCCGCGCGGCGCCGCCGCCGTGAGTGATCTACGGCCAGGACCCGGCGGGTGTCTCTACGGGGACCCCGACCCGGGGGCGGGGCCTCGGCTCGGTTTGGGAGTCGGGGGGAAGCTGGGACGTGAGCAGCGTTCGGCGGCGCCGGCGGGAGCGGCCCTTCCTTCTCACCCTGCTCTCGGAGTCCCCTCGGTGCTGCCTGGCGCCGCCAGGCCCGGGCGCTTCTGGGCCTGCGATGTCGGTCGGAAGTGCCGGGACCTTACGCCAGCGCCGTGTCCTTGTCCCGGCAGGTCCAGGGCACCGGGGGCAGCAGCGCCGTCAGCAAATGCTCAGCGGCGGCGCGGGGCTACATCCAGGATCGGTTCCTGCGGCTCCTGGTGGGGCGGCGGCGGCGGCGAGCCCCGCTTGTCCACCGGTGAGCAGCGGGGGCTTCTCTGGCGGCCGGGCCAGGGTACCTTTGCAGGAGGCCATGGCCGGCACACGTGGGGCTCGCAGGCGGCAGAAGGGGTCCGCTGGTCCCCCAGGCCCTCGGGGTGTCACTTCTGGTCAAGGCACAGCTTTTTGACGTGTGTTTGGGGACACGAGCATAGTGAGTGGCAGCGTGGGGAGCACATCTTTTGGTGTAATCTCTGCAGACTGTTGGTAGCGTTTTACACGGCTTAGGAGTGGAAACTGGAAGCTTTGTCTGGAGGAAAAAGTCACTGGACGGGTGCCTAATTCCAGTCTTTACTGCTGCTGGAAAGTGCTGTAGACATGATTTGAAAATGAATGTACCACAAATGTTAGCATGTTAGTCTTTTGCTCAAGAGCGTTACAACTTCACTAAGGTGTTTGGTGGCTCAGGACAGCAGTATTATCTTTTGAATCGGTGATGTCTGACTAGTAGCTCTTCTCTGGAGCTTTGCATGACACAAGCATTAATATTTTAATGTGGTTAAAGGGTTCTATGCTGATATAGAAGTGGAGTTTACATAATAAGAGGCTAATAGCTTAATGCAGTCAGAATGACTGTGGGTTACCAAAGGAGCTTCATTTGGGGCGTGTTGAAGCAGAGCTTGCAGGCCTGTGAAGATGAGTGTGGTCATCAGGTCAGGAGTTAATTTCAATATTATGGCATCTGATTTGGGGCAGGAACTCTGTTATTGGCTACCCACATAACGGTTATCCATAGTCTTGTTGCGTAAAGCACTTAGTGAGTGCAGGAAATCTGTATTTATTAACAAGTTCTAGATGGACAAACTCATCAGATATCTCCCAGTGCATGGCTATAAATGTAAACTCAGTGCGTAGAAACCAAGAGACGGGAGAAAAAGAGTTTTGTGAAGTGGGGAATGCCAGTGCTGGAGAAGCAGCGTTCCTGATTACAGCTGAATTTCGTTCCACAGGGGTTATTACATCCGTGCCCGTGCTGTAGATCACTGTGTTCAAGACTTCCTGCTGAAGACCCAAAGCCACCCTAGGACACAGGTGCATTTCCCTTGAGTGGGTGTACTGGCAATTTCCACTGTGTGCCTGACAAGTCTTTCTGGCATCTTGCCACTGAAGTAGCTTCTTAGTGCATCTGTTGTGACCCTTTCCGAGAAGAGCACAGACAATCTGCCTGGCACTACTCTGCCTGGCCTTTGTTGCTTTGACAGGCCTATCTGGGAGGGAGCAATACCTACAAAAAATTCTTCTACCTTCTTGCCTGATTTTGTCACTCTGAAAATGTTGTTACTGAATGCTTTTCACACCTGGATGGTCAGGATATAACTTTTTATGATGCCTTTTCTGCAGATCTTGTCTTTAGGTGCTGGCTTTGACTCGTTATACTTCCGTTTGAAGGACATGGGTCTTCTGCATCACACTGTGGTATATGAGGTGGATTTCCCAAATGTGGCACGCCAAAAAGCTGCTCTGATCAGAAGAATGGAAGAGTTGTCGGCATTGGTGGGAAGCAGTGAAGGGGAAGGATTAGGTATGGTATTTATAGAAGGAAGGTTTTGTAGGTACTAAGTGTTTAGAAGAAGCAAACAGCTTCAGCCTTTAAAAAGCAAGATATGATGATAGAGGAACTACAGAGTTGTAGGTGAAAAGATGTTAATTTTCTGAAAAACTCTGGACCTAATGAATTGTTTGTAGCACTGGGAGGCAGCAAGAAGATGTGCAGCTGCCAGAGGGATTGGCCAGGAGCAGATTATATCAAACCGAGTTCAGTTTCTTTCTGATACAATTTCTGAAGTACTGTGTCTAGCTTTGGGCTCTGTGGTACAAAGACAGTGGAAAACTGCAGCCTGGGGGTCCTGGTGGACGACAGGGTGACCATGAGCCGACACTGTGCCCTTGTGGCCAAGAAGGCCAATGGCATCCTGGGGTGTATTAGAAGGGGGGTGGTTAGTAGGTCGAGAGAGGTCCTCCTTCCCCTCTACTCTGCCCTGGTGAGACCTCATCTGGAATATTGTGTCCAGTTCTGGGGCCCTCAGTTTAAAAAGGACAGGGACCTGCTGGAGAGAGTCCAGCGCAGGGCAACTAAGATGATTAAGGGAGTGGAGCATCTCCCTTATGAGGAAAGACTGAGGGAGCTGGGTCTCTACAGTTTGGAGAAGAGGAGATTGAGGGGTGACCTTATTAGTGTATATAAATATATAAAGGGGGAGTGTCACGAGGATGGAGCCAGGCTCTTCTCAGTGGCAAACAATGAAAGGACAAGGGGTAATGGATACAAATTGGAGCACAAGAGGTTCCACTTAAACCTGAGAAGAAACTTCTTCTCAGTGAGGGTGACGGAACACTGGAACGGGCTGCCCAGGGGGGTTGTGGAATCTCCTTCTTTGGAGACATTCAAGACCCGCCTGGACACGTTCCTGTGTAACCTTATCTAGGTGTTCCTGCTCCGGCAGGGGGATTGGACTAGATGATCTTTTGAGGTCCCTTCCAATCTCTAACCTACTGTGTGATATCCAGTGATATGGAGGTCATGAGAGGTCATGTGAATGATTAAGTGGTGGAGCACATGTCGCAGGAGGGGAGGCTGAGAGAACTGGGTTTGTTCAGCCTTAGGAAGAGGAGGTTGAGAGGGAGGTGAGTCTTTCTGCAGTCTTCAGCTACCTAAGAGGAAAGTGTACACAAGATGGAGCCAGATTTTCCTGAAGGCAGGAAGCAAACGGTCAGTGGGCAGTGGTTGCATGTTGCAACAAAAGAAGATCTAGTTACCTATAATGAAAGTGTTGCATGGTTTTTGTTGTTTCCTTGCCTCTCCTGCTGCCATGTGAGCAGTTAAAAGCAGGGAGAGATTGCCCATAAAGGTGGTGAAATTTCCAGCCTTGGAGATAAGATAGTTGACTGGAGAAAGCCTTGAGCAACTTGCTACAGGTAACTCTGCTGTGAGCAAGGAGTTGGATTAGGTGATCTCCAAAGGCCCATTTTGTCCTAAATTATGCTGTGATTTATGGACTTTATGGGTAGGAGAGAAGAGAGGACTCTTAGGTGTCTTGAGTGTAATAAAACTTGAGTTGTTGTGTTACCTGACTTTTTTTTTTTTTTCTCTTTCCAATGGAGGAAAAAACCTGAGCCTTATGAAACTACTGTAGAATATAAGCAGAACTGAAAGGATTATTATGCTGGTTAAGTACTGTGGGGCAGTTCAGTGGCAGCATGAAGGAATGTAAAGTATGGGGTTCACAGGAGGTTTCTCGTGCATCTGATTTCCTTCAAGGTTTCCATTTGTGTTCTAGATGATATGCTATAGAAGTTGAAAATGCAATAAACCAGCAGGAAATGGGGAGATGAGAGTAGGATTTTGATAAAGTACATGAATGGCATCCTGAACCCAGGACAAATGGTCTCTCAAACGTGGAATGAAATTCAGTAAGAATAAATGTAAGCTGCTATGTGACTGTAATAATCAGTTGAAATGCCCATTGAAGACAGGTACAGAGATAGGTGCAGAGCACAAATCTCTGCCTCCCATGAGCAGTTGGACACATCTTAGTGAGCTTTTCCATGAGATTGTTCAGTTTCATCTTGAATCCATTCACATGTTTAATACTGGCAGCCTTGTTGAATTGCACTGGTACAAGAGTGGGTGATTTCTAAAGGTACTTTACAGTTTGCTTTGTTTATGATTTGGTTGAAACAGGTCAGCAGCTATAGCTTATGATAGTCTCATGGAGTACAGAGATATGCCATGGTGATGCTTGCAAAGTATATGTTTGGACTAATTTCTAAGAATGGAGGTGTGTGAGACTCCCCCAGTGTTTGCAGAGCACCAGCACGTGCTGTGTCAGGATTCAGTGCCATTTACAGACATAGAATCATAGACCATAGAATAGTTAGGGTTGGAAAGGACCTTAAGATCATCTAGTTCCAGCCCCCCCTGCCACAGGCAGGGACACCTCACACTAAACCATATCACCCAAGGCTTCGTCCAGCCTGGTCTTGAGCATTGCCAGGGATGGAGCATTCACAGCCTCCCTGGGCAACCTATTCCAGTGCCTCAGCACCCTAACAGGAAAGAAGTTCCTCCTTGTATCCAATCTAAACTTACCCTCTTTAAGTTTGAATCCGTTACCCCTTGTCCTATCACTACAGTTCCTAATGAAGAGTCCCTCCCCAGCATCCCTGTAGGCCCCCTTCAGATACTGGAAGGCTGCTCTGAGGTCTCCACGCAGCCTTCTCTTCTCCAGGCTGAACAGCCCCAGCTTTCTCAGCCGATCTTCATATGAGAGGTGCTCCAGCCCCTGAGCATGCTCGTGGCTCTCCTCTGGACTTGTTCCAACAGTTCCATGTCCTTTTTATGTTGAGGACACCAGAACCGCACAGAATACTCCAGGTGAGGTCTCAAGAGCAGAGTAAAGGGGCAGGATCACCTGAAATCTATTTAAAAAACAAGCAAACCAACCCACCTCCAAAAGCTTGAGGATGGTTTTATGGTTGTGAGGCAAACCATTTGAACTCTGTCAAAGCAATGGTGCTTCCTTTGCCTAAACTGAAAAGTCTGTAAGAGTCCTTCAGATTTGATAGTGGTTCTATAAAAATGTTGTTGAAGTAAATACGATAAAGTTCTGTTATAATAAGTGTGATAATTCTGTGTGAAATCTGCAGGTGAAATTTGCATTAGGAATAACGGAATTTTTGATCTGCATTTAATGGGTCACTTCTTGGCACTATCCCATTATGGTTCATTTAGTGATGGGGATTTTCATGTACATGTCCCAAAGAAATTGAGTTTATGGGCACAGCCTTGTGGGTGATTGCCTGTGGGGTTGATTTTCCTGTGTGTCCCTTTTGATCTCAGTATGGCATCCACACTGCAGTGAGATTGTACCATTTTTTTCTCCAAGGAGTTGTTACCTTTTCTGGAAAGGATTATAAATTATTGGGAGTGGATTTATCACAGCTGTCTCAGCTGGAGAGAGCCCTGGAGGAAGCAGGTTTGGACACTGAAATCGCCACCCTCTTCATAGCAGAGGTGGTGCTCACCTACATGGAAAATAGCAGGTCAGTTGAGTTTTTCCCTGTTAGCTAGGTGGTGAAATTAATAGAGTAAGCGTCTTTGTGTGTATGTCACCTGGGGCTGTCCTGTTATAGGAACTTCTGTCTTCTAACTAGCCTCGGGAATTCTGTGGCAGTGTTGAGCAGCTCCTTATAGCGTGATTGTGATGGGGTAATCAGTGACCCCATGACATACTAAGATGGAGGTGAAAAAAAAAAGAGAAACCTTGAATGAGTGATTTTTGAGTTTTTTCGTTTTGTTTTTTTTTTTTTTTTATCCCCTGAATTCTCTGCACAAATGAGGGAGATGTTCATAAGTCCACAGCACAGGAGTCTGTCTTGTATATTGCCTCTGTTAGGATACCTTAATAGCATGCTTTATGGTGTTGCAGGAAGATAAACTGCATCTGCCATTAATAAGTGGGCCCTCAATTGTTTGATTTCTGATGTACAATCTGCCTGACAGGTCTGATGCCCTGATTCAGTGGGCAGCAGAGCATTTCTCTCAGGCGTGCTTTCTGCTGTATGAGCAGATGCACCCAGAAGACCCCTTTGGACATGTCATGCAGCAGCATTTTAACCAGCTGAACTCTACACTTCATTCTGTGGCACAGTACCCTGATTGTGAGGCACAGCAGAAGCGCTTCTTGGCAAAGGTGAGTACCTACAGCTCTGGGCACATGTGAAGCACCTGGGAAAGACTGTCACATGAAATAATTTGGGAAGTCATCAGTTGTGTCAGTTATGGGTTGAAACCAACAGGGCCAGGGCTGGGACACTGCCTTTTCTATTAGCATGACTAGTCATTTGAAGGTCCTTCCAACCAACTTGCAGCCTCCTTTCTGTACGGTATTAAGGCAGGATGGGTTCCTCTAAGACTTTTGATACAACAAATTAAGTTTCTAAGAACTTTCCAGGTAAGAGACCTATACTCACCAGATTCTGGGCTGCTGTTGTTCCAGCTAGACAGCTTATGGTTTATGCAGGTGTTTAACTTAGGGTCTTAATTTTCTTGTGGGAAGTGAGTCTATCCTTCTGAGGTAATCATTTTGAGGGATTTCTGTTTCAGGGCTGGACTGAGTGCAGTGTCATGGATATGAATGAGTTTTTCACCTGTTGTACTCCAGAAGATGAGCAGCAAAGAGTGCAGACTCTGGAGCCTTTTGATGAATATGAGGTAACCCTCCTTTATTCTGAACACCAGCGGCCTGGCTAACAGCTCTTTCCTACTGCTTGCTCTTCAGATTTTTGAGGGAGATTGGTTTTGTTTTTTTTTCTTTCGGCCTGCTACAGGAATGGCACCTGAAGTGTTCTCATTACTTTGTCCTGGCTGCATCAAAGGGGATGGAACCTTCCTGGGCTCCACTGTTACCCAGTATGACAGGTACATACCCACTAGTTTTTGTAGTATTCTTTCATCTTGTGCAGACTTCCTTGAGGGTTTTTAGGGGACAATAAAACCCTGGAAGGAACTGATCAGATGCATCATCTGAGTATCTTTCTTCATCTTTGTAACAGTGATTCTGCTGCCCATAGTGAGGCCAGGGCAATGTCCTGATGCTGCTAATTCTGACCAGTTTCATTCTTCCAGATTATTGAACCTTCCAGTCTGAACAGCTCTTCCTTCTGTTTATACATGTGTGTATATACATGTGTGTATATACAAGTGTGTGATTGCAATGCCAGTCTACCATGCTCCTCCTCCTATTTTGGGGATCCCACAGACTCTGTGTTTTCAATGTATTCCCACTTGCCTCCATACATGGCTGGCTGAGCCATTCTATCCTTTCAGCTCCCAAAAGATTGTTACATTTTACTTAGAATCACAGAATCGTAGAATAGTTAGGGTTGGAAAGGACCTTAAGATCATCCAGTTCCAATCCCTCTGCCATGGGCAGGGACACCTCACACTAAACCATGCCACCCAAGGCTCTGTCCAGCCTGGTCTTGAACACTGCCAGGGATGGAGCATTCACAGCTTCCCTGAGCAACCTATTCCAGTGCCTCACCACCCTCACAGTAAAGAACCTCTTCCTTTGATCCAATCTAAACTTACCCTGTTTAAGTTTTAACCTGCTACCCCTTGTCCTGTCACTACAGTCTATAATGAAGAGTCCATCCCAGCATCCCTACAGGCCCCCTTCAGATACTGGAAGGCTGCTATGAGGTCTCCACGCAGCCTTTTCTTCTCCAGGCTGAACAGCCCCAACTTTCTCAGCCTGTCTTCATGTGGGAGGTGCTCTAACTCCTGATCATCCTCATGGCCTCCTATGGACTTGTTCCAACAGTTCCATGTCCTTTTTATGTTGAGGACACCAGAACTGTACACAATACTCCAGGTGAGGTCTCACGAGAGCAGAGTAGAGGGACAGGATCACCTCCTTCGACCTGCTGGTCACGCTCTTTTTGATGCAGCTCAGGATACGGTTGCTTTCTGGGCTGCGAGTGCACGCTGAAGCCGGCTCATGTTCATTTTCTCATTGACCAACACCCCCAAGTACTTCTCCTCAGGGCTGCTCTGAATCTCTTCTCTGCCCAACCTGTAGCTGTGTCTGGGATTGCTCTGACCCAGGTGTAGGACCTTGCACTTGGCATGGTTAAACTTCACAAGGTTGGCATCAGCCCAGCTCACAAGCGTGTCAAGGTCCCTCTGGATGGCATTCCTTCCCTCCAGCGGATCAACCGAACCACACAGCTTGGTGTCATCGGCAAACTTGCTGAGGGCGCACTCAATCCCACTGTCCATGGCAGCGACGAAGATGTTAAACAAGACCGGTCCCAACACCGATCCCTGAGGGACACCACTCGTTACTGGTCTCCAGCCGGACACTGAGCCATTGACCACAACTCTTTGTGTGTGGCCATCCAGCCAGTTCCTTATCCACCGAGTGGTCCACCTATCAAACTGATGTCTTTCCAATTTAGAGACAAGGATGTCGTGTGGGACATTGTTGATCGCCTTGCACACGTCCAGGTAGATGACATCAGCTGCTCTACCCCTGTCCATCAGTTCTGTAGCCCCATCATAGGAGGCCACCAAATTGGTCAGGCAGGATTTCCCCTTAGTGAAGCCATGCTGGCTGTCACCAAGCACCTTGCTGTTTTTCATGTGCCTTAGCATGCCTTCCAGGAGAGTCTGCTCCAAGATCTTGCCAGGCACAGAGGTGAGACTGACTGGTCTGTAGTTCCCCGGGTCATCCATTTTCCCCTTCTTGAAAATGGGGGTTATGTTTCCCTTTTTCCAGTCTTTGGGAACTTCACCTGGCTGCCATGATTTTTCAAATATGGACAGTGGCTTAGCACCTTCATCCTCCAGCTCCTTCAGGACCCGCGGATGGATTTCATCGGGTCCCATGGACTTGTGCACGTTCAGGTTCTTAAGATGGTCTTGAACCAGATCCTCTCCTACAGTGGACCTAGGGTCATCGTTCTCACAGTCCCTGCGTCTGCCTTCCAAGACTTGGGTGAAAAAAGTCAGAGCATTTGTCAGTCTTCTCCAAATGCAGGTAGCCGGTTCTGTTAATAGCTTCTGGAGAGGGCCCACGTTGTCCCTAGTCTGTCTTCTATTTGCGATGTAAGCATAGAATCACTTCCTGTTATCTTTCACATCTCTAGCCAAGTTTAATTCTAACTGGGCCTTAGCTCTCCTTACCTGGTCCCTAGCTTCCCAGACAACATCCCTGTATTCTTCCCAGGCTGCCTGTCCTTGCTTCCGCCTTTTATAAGCCTCTTTTTCCCTTTAAAGTTTCCTCAGCAGCTCCTTATCCATCCAAGGCCTCCTGGTGCTCCTGCTGCACTTCCTTCTAGTTGGGGTGCAACACTCCTGTGCTTGTAGCAGGTGATCCTTGAATATCGACCAACAGTCTTGAACCCCCCTGCCCTCTAGGGCTGTATCCCATGAAACCTTACTAAGCAGGTTCCTGAAGAGGACAAAGTCTGCTCTCTTGAGACTAGTCTTGTTCACAATATAGCACCACAAGTAGTTCTAACTGCAACTGAAAGTTGAAATCTGGGTTCTAGGGAGAAAGAAAAACAGTTGAAAAAGGGTAGGGCAGATGGCATTCCTTAAGACAACAGGGCCACTGAATTCATTGCATTGTGTCTTGATTATATTTGAAAACATGTAGTGAAATCAAAACTCAGTGAATATTCATGTGGTTAAGTATATTGTGTGATTGTCACTGGTCCTGATGTTAAAACCTTAAAAGGTTTCTGAATGTGTAGGATCTATCCGTAAGTTAAAAAGAAAAAAAAAAATCTGACATTTACTTAACTGACATCAATACAGTGAAGGCACTTCATTTGTTAGAGACATGAATAGGGTCTTGCTGCTACTGTCTCTGCTGGATTCACAACAGATAGCAAGAGCCTTCAAAGTCAAATAAATTATCCTTGCTTAGGCATTTTTTACTGGGAATGGGAAAAGGTTGGTCTCAAATACCGGTCTCTGTGCCAAGCGATCCTCTCAAATAGATTTAGGTCCCTGTTTAAGAGAGCTGCAAGTCCTATTTCTTCAAAATAGAGCACGGAAAATATATTTTCTAAAGTGAAAACCCCTCAGTCTTAAAAAGATGCATCTGTAGAAAGACATGAGCCCAAGAAGATGCAATCATCAAACAATAGAAAGTAGGGTCTTGTACTGAGCAACATTTGGTACAGTTTTCCTGGGTATGGCATACAAAAAGTAGACTGAGAACTGGTTCTCCACCTCATCATCTCTTACATCATGAGGAGAAGACTCTTGATTAAAACAAACTGATTAAAAGAAAACAATTTGTATAATGCATAGGTGTGCTAGAGTCCTGTGATGTAATCTTGTTTCATACGAAGTGATAGAGGATTTAGGGAGAAGATATTTAGGCAACTGAAAATACTCCTATAATAGGACCATTGGAATTGAGATTATTTGTAATGGTTTAGAACTTTATTTCAGTGCTTTTGTGAAGGTAGGATCAAAATCTAGCAAGAAATTTCAAAATCCAGCTTCCAGGCCCTGTGTCTGCTGGTTTTTGCTTTTTAAATAACCAAATATTGTGTTCATTAGGAAGGTATTATTTTTGATGGTGTTGCAGTGATTCCTGTCTTGCTGCAGCAGTTCAGGACACTGCAGTCTATTAGTAAGTATTAGTCCATCACTTTAAAGTAGTCTCGGGACCGTGTAAGGGGTTGAGGGAGTAGTCAGCAGAGGTTGCAAGTTGGCACAATGGCTGTTTAAACCATTACAGCTTGATTGCTAGGGCAGGTCAGATTCTCTGTGCTCTGTCAAGTTGCTTCACAATCTTTTCTTCTTGAAAAGCTGAAGATTTGCTTAATCTCTCATTTAAAATACAGTCCTTGGTTCTTGTTTATGCTGAGTTCTTTGGTTCTCTCTGGCTTACAGTTCCCCATGGTGCTGTTGGGATGGCTGGGAGTGTCCTTGCAGTGCGTGCGATGCGCTCTGACACTTCCGGGCTGAGACGTTACGGTCACCACTCTGTTCTTCTCAAATGCGATGTGATACTCACCACTGGAGGCTTTGGGGAGGAGGATGGACAGCACTGCCGGATGAGGAATTTCCACGTGCTAATAAAACATGCAGGCTGCTGGAAAGCTGGCTGTGTGAAGAAGGAAAATACTGATAAAAGATCGGGTGAGTTCTCATGCTGGTGTTAAGTGTAAGGAAGATGTTTTTGTGTGACAATGAATCATGTCTAGTGGAAACCTAATATCATGATACAATTATGCTGGCAGTCAAAGAGATCTGAAGATTCTGAATGCTAAGTGTCAGGTCCTGCACTTGGGCCACAACAGCCTCATGGAACCCTCCAGGCTTGGGTGAGAGTGGCTGGAAAGTTCTTCATGCAAAATGACCTGGGGATGCTGGTTGATGAAGCTGAATGTGAGCAGCTTGTGCCCAGGCAGCCAGGAAGCCCCCAGCATCCTGGCTGTTATCAGCACCAGTGTGGCAGCAGGGCCAGGGCAGGGATTGTGCCCCTGCACTGGGCACTGGTGAGGCCGTACCTCGAATCCTGTATTCAGTTCTGGGCCCCTCACTGCAAGAGAGACATTGGTCCTCCTTCCCCTCTACTCTGCCCTGGTGAGACCTCATCTGGAATATTGTGTCCAGTTCTGGGCCCCTCAGTTTAAAAAGGACAGGGATCTGCTGGAGAGAGTCCAGCGCAGGGCAACTAAGATGATTAAGGGAGTGGAGCATCTCCCTTATGAGGAAAGACTGAGGGAGCTGGGTCTCTATAGTTTGGAGAAGAGGAGACTGAGGGGTGACCTTATTAGTGTATATAAATATATAAAGGGGGAGTGTCACGAGGATGGAGCCAGGCTCTTCTCAGTGGCAAACAATGAAAGGACAAGGGGTAATGGGTACAAATTGGAGCACAAGAGGTTCCACTTAAACCTGAGAAGAAACTTCTTCTCAGTGAGGGTGACGGAACACTGGAACAGGCTGCCCAGGGAGGTTGTGGAATCTCCTTCTTTGGAGACATTCAAAACCCGCCTGGACACGTTCCTGTGTAACCTTATCTAGGTGTTCCTGCTCCGGCAGGGGGATTGCACTAGATGATCTTTTGAGGTCCCTTCCAATCTCTGACATACTGTGATACTGTGATACTGTGAGGGGCTGGAGCGGGGCCAGAGAAGGGCAATGGAGCTGGTGCAGGGTCTGGAGCACAAGTGTGATGAGGAAGGGCTGAGGGACCTGGGGGGGTTCAGGCTGGAGAAGAGAAGGCTCAGGGGGGACCTTATTGCTACCTACAACTGCCTGAGAGGAGGATGGAGCCAGGAGGGGGCTGGGCTCTCTCCTGGGGAGCAAGGGAGAGAAGAGACGGCCTCAAGATGCCCCAGGGGTGGTTTAGATGAGATTAGGAATAATATCTTCCTTGAAAGGGTTATTGAGCATTGGAACAGGCTGCCCAAGGCAGTGGTGGAGTCACCATCCCTGGAGGTATTTAAAAGGTGTGTATAAGTGGTGTTTATGTACATGGTGTAGTGGTAGACTTGGCAGTGTTATGTTTATGGTTGGATTTGATGATCTTAATGTTCTTTTCCAACTTAAGTGACTCTAAAATTCTATAAATTTAATGGGAGAAAAATGTGTGTGAACTGTAATGTTTTGTGTTTCTGCAGATGAGCGGCTGTTCCATACTGTGTCATGTGTCTCCAACAATCTGGCCTTGGTGGTAGGAGGACGAACATCCCCATCAAGTGCAGGCTTGGGAATGTTGTTGCTGAAGTTCCATGAAACCTGTAATGCCTTGGACCCAGGTGACATTACAGTGAAACTTGCAAGTCTGCAGCCTGCTGCTGAGCCAGCTGCTTTGCGTTGGAGGCACAGCACAACTGAAGTGATGTTTAAAGGTAAAAAACCTGGAAATGGCTGTAGGCATGCAGAAGTATATAAATTCCAGAATAAATGGGACAGTCCTGTCCAGACAGTGAGGTCTAAAAGGCCAATTGTAAGGATACAGCCTTACTTTTTAGTCATGTAGTACAGGCTATGATGTTAAAGTTCGTGCATCGTATTCCCTTGTCTGAAACAATATTTTTTTCTGAACATTTTGGAAAGAATGCGATCTTCTTAATTCATCACCCCTTTAGAGAATCCAATTATGTAAAGCTTTGTTCAGGTGGTGATTTCCGCCCCCCAGGCTTAAAGAACTTAGGCTTCATTTGATTGTATTTTTCTTACTGTATATACCCAGGTCTTGTGCCTTTTCTTGTTTGTCGAGCTGGAAAGTATTTGTGAGAGGCTTTACTAAATCTGTCAAAAATGAAAGGCTGAGCAGTCTCAGCTCTTTCTTGAACTGAGCATGTGAATTTATCCAACAATTGAACAGGATTTCAGTTATCGCTGCTATTAATACATGGATTAATACACAGTTTTGTTACATAACCTACACGACAGATATCGTGATAATGACACTTATTTATTTAGATCTGCCTTGCAGAGAATGTCTTGGGGTGTTGGTTGATGAGAAACTTAACATAAGCTGGCAGTGTGCACTCACAGCCCAGAAACCCTCTGTCTTCCTTTAACACTCACCAAATAATCTAAATCCATCCCTTTCCTTGCCTCTGGTTCCTCTCCTCAGCATCCCGTAATAAGTCTTATGCAAACACCAAGTGCTTTTCCCCTGCATCTTGTAATGTGTCTCATGCCCCTTGGAAGTTCCCCCCTCAAAGGTGCTCCAGAGAGTTGCTCCTATTCACTCATTTCAGTAGGTCTCAGTGGGGCTGAGAGTTCTGGGACGGCCCCTGGAGGAGCCCAGGCAGATTGTCTCATTTTATAAGCATGTGATTGGGGTTCTGTAGCCTGGAGACCTGCCACTGCCTCTCTGTGCTCCTCTTGGTCATGAAGAAATAAGCGTATTATGGCTGGGCTGGGTGCAGAAGTAGCTGAGGCTACCTTTTTTGCCTCTGTGCTCCTCTGTAAGTGTGCAGGTGAGCTTTTTAGCGTGTAACTGGCACTGCTAGAGCGAGTCTTTGTAATGAACAGATGCTTAAAGGAAAAGCAAAGCAAATGTTCAAAATTACTAGTAAAGGAACAAAAACCAGAATGGGGAATGCTGTTCTGCCATTATGTAAATCATTGGATCGATGGTTTGGGTTGAAAGAGACCTTTATAGATCATAGAATCATAGAAAGGTTTGGGTTGGAAGGGACTTTAAAGCTCATCCGGTTCCAAACCCCTGCCAGCGGCAGGGACACCTTCCACTGGAGCAGTTTGCTGCAAGCCCCTGTGTCCAACCTGGCCTTGAGCACTGCCAGGGATGGGGCAGCCACAGCTTCTCTGGGCACCCTGTGCCAGCGCCTCAGCACCCTCACAGGGAAGAGCTTCTGCCTAAGAGCTTCTTTCAGTCTCTCCTCTTCTAGTTTAAAACCATTCCCCCCTGTTCTGTCATTACACATCCCGGTAAAAAAAGTCTCTCTGTCTTTCTTATAACACCCCTCTAAGTATTTAAAGACTAAAGTAAGGTCTAGCTGAAGCCTTCCTTCTCCAAGTTAAACAATTTCAACTCTTTAAGAACTTTTCTATAGGAGAGGTGCTCCAGCCCTCTGACTTCCTGGTCTGCAAGTGCACATTGCTGGCTCATATCTCATTTTTCATCTACCAGTATCCCCAAGTCTTTCTCTTCATGGTTGCTCTCAACCCATTAATTCTTCAGTCTGTATTGATAGTGGGGATTGCCCCCACCTAGGTGCAGGGTCTTGCACTTGGCCTTGTTGAGCTGCATGGGGGTCATATTGGCCCACTTTACAAGCCTGCCAGTAGAAAAGGAATTAAAAGAGGCTTTGAGATCTCTTCGCACTTGAAATATGATTGTTGTGGTTTAAGCCTAGCTGGGAACTCAGAACCATGCAGCCACTCTCACTCCTTGCCTTTTCCCATCCTGGCTCCCAGAGGGGTGGGGATGAAAATAGAAAAAACGTATCTCCCACAGGTTGAGATAAGAACAGTCCAGTAATCAAGGTATAACACAAAGCACTACTGCTGCCACCAATGCTAATAATGATAGGGGAAGTAACAAGGAGAGAGAATATAAAACTGAAAGGGGGAAAGGGAAAAAAAAAACCAATAAATACAAGTGATGCCAAATACTATTGCTCACCACCCGCTGAGCAGTACCCACCCCGACCTGAGCAGTGACCTGGGTCTTCGGGTGACTCCCCCCAGTTTCTATACTGGGCATGATGTGCTGTGGTATGGAATACCTCTTTGACTAGTTTGGGTCAGGTGTCCTGTCTGTTTCCTTCTGGCTTCCAGTTCTCCCCCTCACTGGAGAGCATGAGATTGAAAAGTCCTTGATCAGAATAAACATTATTTAGCAACAACTAAAAGCATTGGTGTTATCAGTGGTGTTCTCATGGTCATGCTAAAGTCAAAAACACAGCACTGCACCAGCTACTAAGAAGGAGAAAAATAACTGCTAGAGCTGAACCCAGGACACTGTCCACCCCTTATTCCATACCATTCACATCATGATCAAATCCCACATTTTTCAATATACGTAGAATCATAGAATAGGGTTAGAAAGGACCTTAAGATAATCAAGTTTCAACCCCCCTGCCATGAAGAGGAACATCTCCCACTAAACCATGTCACACAAGGCTCTGTCCAACCTGGCCTTGAACACCACCAGGGATGGAGCATTCACAACTCCCCTGGGCAGCCCATTCCAGTGCCTCACCACCCTCACAGTGAAGAACTTCTTCTTTAGATCCAAACTGAACTTCCCCTGTTTGAGTTTGAACCCATCACCCCTTGTCCTATCACTGCAGTCCCTAATGAAGAGTCCATCCCCAGCATCCTTGTAGCCCCCCTCAGACACTGGAAGCTGCTCTGAGGTCTCCACGCAGCTTCTCTTCTCCAGGCTTAACAGCCCCAACTTCCTCAGCCTGTCTTCATACAGGAGGGGCTCCAGTTCCCGATCATCCTTGTGGCCTCCTCTGGACTTGTTCCAACAGTTCCATGTCCTTTTTATGTTGAAGACACTGGAACTGCACACAGTACTCCAAGTAAGGTCTCAGGAGAGCAGAGTGGAGGGGCAGGATCACCTCCTTTGACCTGCTGGTCACGCTCCTTTTGAGGCAGCCCAGGATATGGTTGGCTTTCTGGGCTGTGAGCACACACTGCTGGCTCGTATTTGTGTTCTCATCGACCGACACTCCCAAGTCCTTCTCCACAGGGCTGCTTTTGTCTCATATTTATATATATATATGCACACACATAGAGAGGTATTTCCTTAGTCCTTGGACTAAGTTGCTAAATTCATCCAGTCCATGATACGAGGCTCCATGTCTTGTAACAGCCTCTGGGGCAGGAGGGACGGTGTGTAGTGTTGCATTGTTGCCTGCTGATGACACTGCCAAACTTGTCTGGTCACTGCTGAGCTTGTCTGGTTTCATCAAAGTTCGTTTTTTTTGTTGAGGTGATGATCAGAAGTCAGAGTCAGTCAGTGGTGACCTGAGGACAGTTCTGCTGCTGCTGGCTTTTCCCATTACTTTGTGCTCTGCTGATGATCATGACAGCACGTATCTTCTCTTCAAAGCCCAGAGTGGTGGGGATGGGCATGTAGCTGATGGGCTATAAAAGTGTTACATAGCAGGCAGCAGCATATAGTTGAGATCTCTGGCTGTTTTCCCAAAAAATCAAATCCCCTTGAGGTATACACTGGAATTCCCCATCTTCCTGCATTACCCACCAAGTATATCCGTGTCCCTGAGCAAAAGCAATCCCACAAGTGGGTTTGCCTTTGCCTGAAGCAGGAATAATCCAAAACTGTCTTCCCTAGCAAATTCTTTATGTGCACCACAGGAGCTTTATCTCCCTCTCTCTCCCTATATATATATACTGTAAGTAAAATTTCTGACTGGGCTGGGCCAGCCCTGTTGGCAGATCCCCTCATGTTGACCAACCAGGTGGCTTTTGGTAGACGTGTATCCCAGTGTTTGAAAGTCCCACCACCCATTGCTCTCAGTGTAGTTTTTAACTGCCCACTGTACCTTTCCATTTTCCCAGAGGCAGGTGCATGGTAGGGGATGTGATATACCAATTCAATGACATGCTCTTTGGCCCATGTGTCTATAATGGCCCACGTTGTTCCAGAAATGAGGCCCATTGTCTGATTCAGTTCTTTCTGGAGTGCTGTGTTGCCACAAAATCTATTTCTCAAGGCCCAGGATAGTGTTCCGGGCAGTGGCGTGGGGCACAGCGTATGTTTCCAGCCATCTGGTGGTTGCTTCCCCCATGGTAAGCACATGACGCTTGCCTTGGCGGGTTGGTGGGAGTGTGATCTAGTCAATGTGCCAGGCCTCCCCATATTTGTACTTCAGCCATTGTCCTTCATACCAGAGAGGTTTTAATCGTTTGGCTTGCTTAATTGCAGCACATTTCACATTCATGAATAACCTGGGTGATAGGGTCCACTGTTAAGTCCACCGGTCGATCACGAGCCCATCTGTGTGTTGCATCTCTGCCTTGATGGCCTGAGGTGTCATGGGCCCACGGGGCTAAGAACAACCCTTATGTTGCCAATCTAAGTCTGTCTGAGCCACTTCAATCTTAGCAGCTTTATCCACTTGCTGGTTGTTCTGGTGTTCCTCAGTGGCCCGACTCTTGGGTACGTGAGCATCTACATGGCGTACCTTCACCACCAGGTTCTACACCCGGGCAGCGATATCTTGCCACAGTGCAGCAGCCCAGATGGGTTTCCCTCTGGGTTGTGTGGTAACACCCCCACGGGGGCATTTGCCACCATCCATGAGTCAGTGTAGAGATAAAGTACTGGGCACTTTTCTTGTTCAGCAATGTCCAAGGCCAGCTGGATGGCTTTCACCTTGGCAAACTGACTCGATTCACCCTCTGCTTCAGCAGTTTCTCCAACTTGTTGTTGGGGACTCCCTATAGCTGCCTTCTATCTCCAATGCTTTCCCACACCATGGCAGGACCTATCAGTAAATAAGGTATACTGCTTTTCACTTTCTGACAGTTCCTTATGTGGTGGGGCCTCTTCAGCACACATCACCTCCTCCTCTGGCGACATTCCAAACTCTTTGCCCTTGGGCCAGTCCATGATGAGTTACAGAATTCCTGGACAACTGGGATTTCCTGTTCTAGCTTGTTGTGTAATTAGTGCAGCCCACTTACTCCACGTAGCATCAGTTGCATGATGCGTATTTTGTATACTACGTAATCCCCAGTGGTAAGTGGAACTGAAGCCTAGGGTCGTGATCTGTTCTGGAAGATACAGAAATGTCTTTGAAATAGTTTATGGCTAAAGTTACTTATGCTTCATCACACCAGAAAGAAGTTTCAGAACTTATTGTCTGAAGGTGAATAGTTTACTTATGGAGCAGGATCCTTAGCTCTTTACCCAGGAGAAGTGCCTCAGAAGTGCACTCTTCTGGTAGCAACTGACACATAGTAGTGCTGAATAGGTCTAGAATCAAGCCCTGCAGTGGCATGCTGAAGGTTCGTTTAGTAAGAGATACTGACTGCAAGGGCCAAAACCTTCAGTAGTTGTTAGCAGGTCAGTGATGGGACTTTGTGGAATTCAGGTGGTGAAAGCTGACCTTTCTTAAGCTGCTTCCTTCTCCACTGTTGAGAGGCAGGGAGCTACTGAAGGAAACACCAAGGGAATTGTTAAGCAGTTGTTAGTCTAGTCTGGAGCATACTTTGAATTTGTGGAGTGGAGTTTCATTAGCACCATAGTGGAGCTGAGGGTTTAGCCTTCCAGTTATCATTTTATATCAAAGAAACAAATTCTAAATGGGCAAATAAAATCTTATAAATAATTCATTGGGTTTTTTCTTTTATAGTATCTTATTTTTGCCTTGATTTTGCTTTGTAGTTGAAGTAAGTGACCACACTTGTGTTACTTGCTCAGCCTATTACAAAGAAGTGAGCTGACAGGGCATAGTGCAGTAAACACACATCCTTGACATCTACCCAAAGTGCTTGTGCACCTTTTGTACCTCCTCTTTGAGGCTTCTCCAGATTAACTCCTACACACTTAAATTATCATCATCTTCTTGTATGAACAACTCTTGTTGTCTTAGGAGGTTTTATCTGTTTTTCCTGGGATAAATAGATTTCATTGTGTTGCTATGGATTCTGTACTTAAGATTTTCTAGTTTCATTAGTTCTACAGGTGTAATCTTTCTGCTGCTTATTTTTTCTTCCTTAAATCCTTTTGGTGTATTAAAAAATATGCTAAGCCCAGGACACTCCTTCTGGTGTTGAGACTACAGTGTGTAATTCCCATTCAGACTTTAAACATTCAGAAACTGCATAATATAAGTGGATGAGGGGGGTCTTTTGAATGACCACAGACATGAAGAATACAGCTTCTTAGTAAAAATATTTAGTCTCCGTGTCTTATAAAAGATGTAGATGCAAGAGTAATTCCTGTATTCATGAACTGATGTCTTGCATTTACTGCTAAAATCTGGAAATGTTCATCAGTTTGCAGGATGTCTCAATATAAATAGTGTCTTAAACCTCTCCCTGCCAGCATTAATTTCTGGCTTTGGTCAGCTTCCCCTCTATGCAAACAGAAGCCTTCTTTTGTGACATGCCAGATTCTAACTTCTCTTTTCACCTGGTTGTCTTTTTCTGTAGGCAAGAAGTACCTGTTTGTGTATGGTGGCCGCTCTGCTCTGGAGCCTGTGCTGGGGGACTGGTATTTCTTGCACACTCGAGAGCTTTCCTGCACTGGGGTAAGAACTTAGGGAGGCCTGAGAAGTAGAAATAGCCTTCGCTTTGTAGGTGTGTGCTGCTGTGTTGCAAGGCCAACTAAATTACAGAGGTATTGCCATACTGAAGAGGATGACATTGGCAGTACTGACACACTCCATTGTGGTTAGAATAAGAGCTAACTTCTGAACACCTTGCCATTTATTGGAATACAGTCTTCACAGAATACTTGAGGTTGGAAAGGACGTTTGGAGATCATCTAGTGCAGCACCCTTACTTAGAGCAGTTCTAACTAGAAGCAGGTTGCTCATGATATTGTCCAATTGGGTTTTGATTATCTCCAAAGATGGAGCCTTCACAACCTCTTGGACAGCCTATCAGTGCCTAATAGGAATATGTGAGGGTTTTTTATGCTTAAGCGGGGCCTTTTATTTGTATTTCAGTTTGTGCCCATTGCCTCTTGCCCTGACTCTGGGCGCTACTGAACACATGCTGTCTCTGTCTTCTTTCATCTCTCCCAGTTGGCATTAACACATGTTGATAAGATTTCCCTGTGAGCCTCCTCGATCACTGAGGCAGGCAGCTCACTCAGGTGCTGCATGATCTGCGGTGGATACTGCAGCATGCAGGGAGGTTCCTGAACTGCAGAAACCTCAGGGGAGCAGCCATGACCAAGCTCCTCACACCTGTAAAAGAACCCCTTGGGGAGACTGTGACCAGGGTAGGCAGATGGGGCACAGCGCGGCTCTCCTGGGCAGAACCTGGTTCTTTAAGGCATAGAGGAAAGTTGTAACAAGTTCCTGCAGCAGGTGCATTTCCTCCATGACTGCCTCACCTTCCCACATGCCCTTGTACAACAGGTACAAGGTTCTAGAAGTGGAACCAAACGATGAGGGTGATGGTCCATCTAGCTTGGAGGTGTTGCCAAGGTTAATTTGGCCTGTGCCCTGCATCAAACCACTTCCATCAAGAAAAAAAGATATTATTTTCATAGGAGATTATCTTCTGAGTGGAACAGAAGGCCCAATATTCTGACCAGACCCACTTCCTTAGGGAAATCTGCTGCCTCCATGGGGCATTTGTCGAAGATGTTACAAGAAAACCTCCTACCCTGGTATGGCCCTTGGATTATTATCCATTATTGCTTTTTCATGTAGACAGCAATGAAATTTCTGTAAGAGTCCAAAGGCTATCAGAAGATACTACAGGTCCTTAGGATGACTGGTTAAGGGTTCAGGAGCACAGGTTATATTTTCCTCCATCCTTCCAGTTACACAGAATGGTGGGGGAAGAAATGGGAAGACCCAGTAAATCAATACCTGGCTCCAAGCCTGGTGTCACTGGCAGAATGTGAGTTTTTTTGATCTCAGGTCAGTCTGCATGATGCCAGGCTGCTGGCAACATGTGGAGTGCACTTTTCTCAAGGGGGAAAAAGGGGTTCTGCACAGGAGTTAGCAGGGTTTATTGGAAGAGCTTTAAATTAGATTTGAAGGGATAAAAGAGTATAATACGAGGTTCAGTAGTGATTAGCCCCAAGACAGCACAGCAATGGTTGAGGGACAACATTCGGGCAAGGTCCTCCACTCCATGATATGCTGAGTACACTGGAGCACATTTGAAATGTCTTTATTTTATGTTTGCATGAGGAATAAACAAGAGGGGCTGGAAGCTTTGGCCTCGTCCCAGAGCAAGACATCATAGAATCATAGAATAGTTAGGGTTGAAAAGGACCTTAAGATCATCAAGTTCCAACCTCCCTGCCATGGGCAGGGACACCTCACACTAAACCATGTCACCCAAGGCCTCGTCCAACCTGGCCTTGAACACTGCCAGGGATGGAACATTCACAACCTCTCTAGGCAGCCCATTCCAGTGCCTCACCACACTAACAGGAAAGAATTTCCTCCTTATATCTGATCTAAACTCTCTCTGTTTCAGTTTTAACCCATTACCCCTTGTCCTGTCACTGCAGTCCCTAATGAAGAGTCCATCCCTAGCATCCTTACAGGCCCCCTTCAGATACTGGAGAAGAAGAAGGAAGCAAATGAAGTTTCATGTTAATGCACGTATGAAGCGGTGGGTGTTGTACAAATACAGCTTCCCTGTGCACTGTTCCACCCTTCACAGCAGTGGACTTCTCAGCTCTGAAGGATGAAGGTCCCAGGGAGGTAGGAGAAAAAGGCAGGTCAGCCCCTTTATTTTAGTGAGCCAAGTCTGCAAAATGCATTACAGCTGTGATGTAGGTGACCACTTTCCTACAGCCCCCCATAAATTCTGTTAGCCCTCTGAGGGGGCTCTTTCTTCAGTAGGGACACCGATTTTTGCTTACTGAATCAACAGAGGAAGGATAAAAACCACATAAAAGCGTGCCTACTGGATATAAGGTCAAGACTGTGTAGAAGTAGAGGGGTGCATTCAAAAGCAAAGAACAAAGTAGGTCTTTTGTTACAGAGGCTTAAAACACACTGCAAGTATTGAAAACAAAGGCAAACAGGAGTGGCTAAAAGTGCTTTCTTGTACCCTTTTTACAAGGGCATGGTAAAATAGGGTATTCCAACTATTTAATCTATTAGCCCATCTCTGACACTTCAGCACAACATACAAGTAAATGGTATGGTAACAAATTACAGATTGAATGAGTTTATTTCTTAAGCAAGGCAATTAAAGGCTGGTTTATGGCTCAGAGAATGAAGGTGCATTTGTATATTTTTCTCCTAACAAAAGCACGCATCATTCCTAGGATGGAATAGTCCTGGTTGTATGCACAAACTGGGGGGCAAGAGGCTGGAGAGCAGCCCTGCAGAAAGAGATGTGGGGATCTGAGTTGATGGCAAGTTGAACATGAGTCAACAGTGTGCTCTAGTAGCTAAAAGGGCTGACCATGTCCTGGGGTGCATTGTACACAGCATCACTGGCCAATCGAGGGAGGCAATTGTGACACTGTACTGCACTGTGGTCCCCACAGTGTGGCCCCATCTTGGGTGCTGTGTGCAGTTTTGGGTGCCTCACTATGAAAAGGGCATTAGAGTGTGTCCAGATGAAGGCAGTCAAGATGGTAAAGGGTCTCAGGGGCAAGATTTATGAGGGGTGGCTGAGGTAACTTGATTTGTTTAGCCTGGAGAACAGAAGGCTGAAGGGTGCCCTCGTCACAGTCTACAACTTGTTTACAGGGAGCAGCAGGTCCTCTTCTTTCTCTGGTGACCAGCAACAGTGCATGAAGGAATGAAGTTGTGTCAGGGGAAGTTCAGATCGGACATGAGGAAAAGGCTTTCCACTGAGAGGGTGGGTGGTCACTGGAACAGTTTCCCAAGGGAATGGTCATGGTACTAAGCCTGTCAGAGTTCAAGAAGCATCTGGACAATGCTTTTAGTTATATGGTTCAATTTTAGGTAGTCCCGCAATGAGCATGGAATTAGACTCAAAATTAGTGCAAAATTATTTGGAAATCAGACTTTGAGAATATTTAGAATTCACTCTATGGAAATGGTGGTATCCCACAGGATCAGTCCTGGGGTCCAGTTATTAATGACAAGAATGATGATGTCAACTGTCTATATTATATAGGTAGAGTAGCTCAATAGTACATTAGTGGACAAGATGAAAATTCAAAATTACTTTGACATGGAATAAATACTTATGGAAAAAACAAACTGCAGTTTATTAAAGATAGACTGAATTTAAAAAATAGTGCATAGCACAATTTTATGGTGAGAGATGCATAATTACAGGAGATAATAGAATTGTGGAAGGGTTTGGGTTGAAGGGTCCTTAAAGCTCCTACAGTTCCAACTGCCTGCCTTGGGCAGGGACACCTTCCACTAGAGCAGCTTGTTCCAGGCCCCTGTGTCCAACCTGGCCTTGAGCACTGCCAGGGATGGGGCAGCCACAGCTTCTCTGGGCACCCTGTGCCAGCGCCTCAGCACCCTCACAGGGAAGAACTTGTGCCTAAGAGCTCAGCTCAGTCTCCCCTCTGGCAGGTTAAAGCCATTCCGCTTTGTCCCACTGCTAGCTGCTCTTACAAAAAGTCCTCTCCAGCTTTCTTATAGCTTCCCTTTAGGTACTGGACCACAGGCTAAACATGAATAAGCAATAATCATGCTGTTGTGGAACGCCTAAACTGCGTGTTCAGGTGTGTAACCAGGAATGTTATCTGTAAGACACGAGTTAGTCCTTTCTGTTCTTTTCAATGCACTCAGTGGGACCCTTGTTAAATACTCGACGCAGGTTCCTGAGAAAAAGAGTTGTCTGGGATGCAAATACAGCTCTATAATGGTACGCAGTGAGAATAACCAGACTGCATACCTTGCAGGGGAAGATTATGAGGGACTTGCAACTGTTGAGTCTGGAGAAGAGTCAGGATACAAATAAATCTTCAGCTATGTAAAATATAGTTGCAGAGAGGACAAACAAGTTGTTCTGAATTTTTACTTTGAGTAGTACAGGGAATCTATAGAAAGGGCAACTGGACACTAAGGAAAGCTATTGGGAAGTGCTGCAACAGACTACCTAAAGAGGAGAGAAATTCTTGTAATGGCAGACTTATATAAGCTATTAAATAACCATGTGTTCAGATGATAATCAATAGAGTTGTATTTGCTTTAGGAGAAAGGGATGAACAGGATGACCTCTGAAATTTTCTCAACAGCTTGTTTGCTATGAAATTCCTTTACACTCCTCATCTTACACAGTTTCCTTTAGTGCTCGCACTAAAGGTTTTCTTTCTGCATATTAGTGCTGCAGTTCAGTATTTTATCTTGCTCTGGTTTGAGCCACTGGTCACCTGCTTTGCTGGTCACTGCATTTGTCCATATGTTGGGAAACTTGTGGTTCTTAGGTGTATGTCTTGAACAGAAAGCAGCATACAAGAATGCAGAGAAAGATGCCTCTAATAAATGTGCAGAAATAAAGCCCTTGTTGTGGTTTAAGCCCAGCCCATAACTCAGAACCACACACCTGCTTATTCACTCCTACCCCTCTTCCCTTCCCCCCCCCGGGGTCTCCCAGAGGGACGGGGTGAAGAGTAGAAAGAATGTAACTCCCACAGGTTATACCCACTAAGGTGTAAGACAAACCACTACTGCTACCAGCAATAATAATAATGATAGCGGAAATAACAGTCGGAGAGAATATAAAACTAAAAGGGGGAAAAGGGAAACAACAAACGCCAGTGATGCCAAATACAATTGCTCAGCATCTGCCAACCGATACCCAGCCTAACCTGAGCAGTGATCTGGGCTCCCGGGTGACTCCCCCCCAGTTTCTATACTGGGCATGATGTGCTGTGGTATAGAATACCCCTTTGGCTAGTTTGGGTCAGGTGTCCTGTCTCTGCGTCCTCCCGGCTTCCTGTGCCCGTCCTCACTGGCAGAGCATGAGATTGAGAAGTTCTTGATCGGAGCAAACATTACGAAGCAGCAACTGAAAACACCAGTGTGTTATCACCATTGTTCTCATGCTAAAGTCAAAAACACAGCACTGCACCAGCTACTAAGGAGGAGAAAAACAACTGCTAGAGCTAAACGAGGACATTCTTCTAAAGGGTATGATATTAAATATGAATAATATTAAATAAACTGTGGGCCAGAGCAAACTGTAGATAGTGAAAATGGAAACACTTCTGCTTAGCAGTCCCTAGAGAAAGATGTGTAGGTTGGTGTTTTTCTGGTTGTTCCCTGTCACACTTTGTTCTCTTCCAGTAACTGTTCTATCCTATCCTGTGGCAGGAAAGAATGTGACATCCTACAGGACATGCAAACGGAAGAGGCTGTTTAAGAGCCTAGACATGAAGAAGGCACTTCGGCTGGCAAACTTCAGCTTTGGACTTGTTTTTCTAGATTCCTGTGGAGGGTCCAATACCAGAAAGCCGTCACTCTCACTCTGCCTGTAGCTGGAAAGGAGGAGTGGTAATTGCAGGAGGTCTGGGAGCAGCTGAGCGGCCGTTAGGTTCAGTTTTCTTTCTGAAGGAGCTTGAACATGGCTTTCAATGGCAGACAGTAGAGACACACCCCCCTCTCATACCCAGGTAAGTAGAAGTCTTTCAGTAATGGATCTTTGGTCTGCCTCTGTCTCTGTTACTGATGGAGTTCAATCTCATTTTGAACTCACAGGTATTCACATACTGCACATGTGCATGGCGGAAAACTTCTGCTTGTTGGTGGAGTGTGGTTTCACTCATCCTCTGTGCCAGGCATCACTGTCATTGACTTAATGAGTGGTCTCTGCTTGGACTATATGATTAATGTGGTAAGTACTGCAACTTTTCTTTTAGGGTAAACAGTGTCTGGTGAAGGAATGTGGTAACTTCAAGGCTATTCCCTGAAATGGAGTCAGAAATGCAAAGTAGGCAGATTCATGAGTGGAATAGACATTCCCTGTTTGACACAGAATCTGATTTTGAAGTGCTTTTACCTGCTCAGAGAGCATAATAACATTAAGAGAGTCTGAGTGTGCAGAAGACTGGAGCGCATGGGGCAGCTCTATTCCAGACAAGGGCACGAAGCTGCTCTATTCCAGGCAAGGGGAGCAGAGCTGAGATGGGCACAAGCACAGTAATTTCAAAATGTCTGTAGAAGAAGAGAACATATCAGACCAGAGCCTAAGTTAGCCTTTATGGTGGAAATTGCTGTGTGCTGTAGCTGCTGCCAGAAATACAAAAAGAAAACAGCGTGGAAGTACTGGAAACTCCACTTACTAAACATAAGAAAACTAGTGTAAGGGTGATTGAGCACTGAACAGGTTGCTGAGAGAGGCTGTGGTGTCTCCATCATTGGAGATACTCAAAACCTGACTGGGCAAGGTACAGAGCAACCTACTGTAGTTGAGCCTGCTTTGAACAGGTGTGGTTGAACTGGATGATACTTAAGAGATCCCTTCCAGCCTCAACTACTCTGTGATTCTCTTCTGTGATTGAGCCTTGGGTGACATGGTTTAGTGCGAGGTGTCCCTGCCTATGGCAGGGGGATTGGAGCTGGATGATCTTGAGATCTTTTCCAAGCCTAACTATTCTATGATTCTATGATTCAGTGAAGAACAATCATAAGGTGATTTTGGCATACTCTGGGTAAAACTTTGCCTAAATCCATGAGTAGTCCTCATCTGTGGTAATACTGCCTGAAGTACAAGGAAGACATAGACCTGGGGCAGTTCCAGAGGAAGCCACAGACATGATCAGAGGCTTGGAACACCTCCTGTGAGGACAGGCTGAGAGAGAGTTGGGGTTGTTCAGCCTGAAGAAAAGGTTCTGGCAAGACCTTATTTCAGCCTTTCAATACTTAAAGGTGACTTATAAGAAAGATGGGGACAGACTTCTTCGTAGGGCCTGTATCAATAGGACAAGGGGCAATGGTTTTAAACTAAAATAGGGTAGATTCAGACTAGGTATAAGGAAGAAACATTTTACAGTGGGGGTGATGAAACAGTGAAACAGGTTTCCCAGTGAGGCTGTAGATGCCCCGTCCCTGGACACATTCAGGGTTGGACAGGGCTCTGAGCAACCTGATCTGGTTGAAAATATCCCTGCTTATTGCAGGGGGGGTTGGACTAGATGACCTTTAAAGGTCCCTTCCAACCCAACCCCAAACTCATTATTCTATGAGAAAGCTTCAGTTGCTTGACAAGTTTTTATCTTTTACATAAAGAAACTGATTTCTTTAGACACTTGTACATATAGATCCTGTCCTTGGTGAAACTGGGATTTGTGACTGATCTGGTTTGTATCATAGGCAGTATTTGTGCATCTGGCTGACCTTGCAGCATTTTCCTGAGGGCATAAAGCATGAAGTATGCTTAAATGTAGTTTATTTTTTTTTTCTTACTGTCTATAGTAGCAGTTAGAAGTGGCCCAGGATCCTTCAGCTGAATAGGCTTCTGTTGTTGGATAGCAGTGAGGATGGTTAAAGTAGTAATAAAGCTGTATCTAAAAGAACAGAACTGTTTACATGGCATAAGTGAATGCAGATGGATTGATTGGGAGCTGCCTTTGCTTATGAGCTGTTTGTTTTGACTTAGGTGAAACTGTAGGCTTTTGAACCTCCCAGTACTGAGCTAAAATATTGATAGTACTGTGCAGTGTGTGTGGATTAGTCCTAAGTTTTCAAAGACTGGAATCGTTAGTGATTTTCTGTGCAGCACTGGATATTATTAGTATCAGTGTTTGATACATGCACTAGAAAGTGATAGCACCAAACCCATTGGCTCACAGCTTTCTCTCTGCTTAAAAAAGCCATGGAACAGTTACTGTGAACAGATACATCTGTCTTAACCTTTCTCCAAGTATCTAGATGAGGATACTCTCATAAAATTTGCATTCTGTCTTGAGTCCTCTTCAGACTCCAGTGGCCCCAACAGTAGTTGAATTGTCAACACAGGAGTTTTGTTACTGCTGCAGTCTGTTGTCTGCAACAAGTGTCTTTCCAAGGTTCACCTTCCTGAGCTTTCAAATATTGGAGGTCATCATGAAAGAGCATCTCTTCAGATTATCAGATAAACAGGTTATAAATCAGATGTTTCTTGCACTGCAGATGTATCAGTATATGTTTTAGGCTGTCTCCTTTGTGGTGAAGAGGGCATGGTTGTTCATTGCTTCTTCTGATGTAAGAACTAGGAGGCATCAAAAGAAGCTGGTTGGCAGTACACTTCAAAAGAGTGCTTCATATAACACATAGGTAAGCTCTGGAGCTCCTTGCCGCAGGATATGAATGCCAAAGGTTTACATAGATTCAGAAAGCGATGGGCTATGTTCCTGGAAGAAAACCATTAAGGGTTCAGGGTTACAAAGACATTGTCATTAACAATCTGGCATGCTTTAAGCCCAGCCTGCAACCCAGAACCATGCAGCCGCTCGCTCACTACCCCTCTTCCTCCCCCTGCTCCCAGAGGGATGGGGAGGAGAACTGAAAGAATGTAACTCCCACAGGCTGAGATAAGAACAGTCCAGTAACTAAGGTGTAACACAAAACCACTGCTGCCACCACCAATAATAATAATGATAAGGGAAATAACAAGGGAAGAGAATACAACTGCTCACCACCTGCCGACAGATACCCAGCCCAACTCAAGCAGGGATCTAGGCCTTCTGGGTAACTGCCCCCAGTTTCTATACTGGGCATGACATGCTGTGGTATGGAATACCTTTTTGGTCAGTTTGGGTCAGGTGTCCTGTCTCTGCTTCCTTGCGGCTTCTCCTCCTCCCTAACAGAGCATGAGACTCAGAAAGGCCTTGGTCAGAGTAAACATTACTGAGCAGCAACTAAAACCACCGGTGTCATCAGCGCTGTTCCAGGCTGAAAGTCAAAAACACAGCACTGCACCAGCTACTAAGAAAAATGACTGCTACTGCTGAACCCAGGACACAATCACTGAACTGCAAGTTGTTGAGGGGACTATACTAGAGGAGTGTGTTCTGGTTTCCTTGGTCATGTGTTCTCTAGCTGTTTATTTTCTGTCCACATTTGTGGGTGGTATAGTGGACTAGGTGGGACGCACTTTGATTGTTCGTAACTTCCTAATGAAGGTATGATGTGAAATAACCTCTACAGCATTGTATGAAGTACATGTGTTGAAGTCTTGTGTGTTCAAAACCTTTTTTTAGGAGCATCTGGAGTGGCCATTAATGCTACATAATCATAGTAGTGTCTTTCTGCCAAATGAGGAGGAGCTGTTGATTATTGGTGGTGGGGGGAACTGCTTCTCCTTTGGGACACACCTGAACCTAGAGCCTGTCTCCTTGAGCCTCAGTAACATCCTGACAACCACTGACGGGGACCAGACAGGACTGAACCATGCTGCTGCACTGTGGTGAGACATCTATTCACTTGCAGGTCCAAAAGCAGCAAAATATTTCCACAAGGGTTTTGTATCCAGAATGCATTTGTAAAAGCGTGAGCTTAGGAGGGACAGTTGTGACAAGGGGTTTCATACCTCGTCTATCTTGGTTTTGTACCGCTCTTTATGTTGCTGTAAATAAAGTATCTCAAAGGTAGTTCTGTGGTGATAGCAGTAAAGGTGAAGTGAGGAGCAGTGCTGTGTTCAAAAGGGTCGACTGCTCAGTGCTGACTTGGAGGTACAGTGAAGTCACTGAGTCACAAAGCCCTTGGAAATATTCAGTCAATCATAACCAAATAAGTGAAAGGAAGTGTAGCATGTGTCATAGAATCATAGAATCATAGACTAGTTAGGGTTGGAAAGGACCTTAAGATTATCAAGTTCCAACCCCCCTGCCATGGGCAGGGACACCTCGCTCTAAGCCATATCACATTTCACATCCAACCTGGCCTTGAACACTGCCAGGGATGGAGCATTCACAACTTCCTTGGGCAACCTATTCCAGTGCCTCACCACCCTAACAGGAAAGAATTTCCTCCTTATATCCAATCTAAATTTCCCCTCTTTAGTTTTAACCCATTACCCCTTGTCCTACCACTACAGTCCCTAATGAAGAGTCCATCCCCAGCATCCCTATATGCCCCCTTCAGATACTGGAAGGCTGCTATGAGGTCTCCACACAGCCTTCTCTTCTCCAGGCTGAACAGTCCCAACTTTCTCAGCTTATCTTCATATGGGAGGTGCTCCAGTCCCCTGATCATTCTTCTGGCCCTCCTCTGGACTTGTTCCAACAGATCCATGTCCTTTTTATGTTGAGGACACCAGAACTGCACACAATGCTCCAAGTGAGGTCTCATGAGAGCAGAGTAGAGGGACAGGATCACCTCCTTCGACCTGCTGGTCACACTCCTTCTGATGCAGCCCACGATACAGTTGGCTTTCTGGGCTGCAAGCGCACACTGAAGCCGGCTCATGTTCATTTTCTCATTGACCAACTCCCCCAAGTCCTTCTCCTCAGGGCTGCTCTGCATCTCGTCTCTGCCAGCCTGTAGCTGTGCCTGGGATTGCCCTGACCCAAGTGTAGGACCTTGCACTTGGCATGGTTAAACTTCATGAGGTTGGCATCAGCCCACCTCACAAGCGTGTCAAGGTCCCTCTGGATGGCATTCCTTCCCTCCAGCGTATCAACTGAACCACACAGCTTGGTGTCATTGGCAAACTTGCTGAGGGTCATACTTGAAAGTTTCAAAAGCTCATGTCCAGTATAGATATGACAAACTCTTGCTCCTCTGATTCTTGTTGCCAGGACTCTGCTAGCTGCAGCCCTTGCTTATTTCCTGGAAGGGTCACAACATACCAGTGAAAGAGGGGCAGGGGGATGCTGCATAAAATCATTACTTGGTATCATTACTAACATTTGAACTTTCCTGTGTCTGGAAAGCTTGCCATGGTGAGGACACTGTGCATGGAACACAATTTGAGCAGTGTTAAAACTAGGATGATCTTGAGAAGGCACATACACTTTTGCCTGTGTTTTATGCAGGATGACCAGATTAGCTCAGGGAGGTTTTTGTGTTGGGGAAAGCCCTGTGGAACATGACTAGAGAGAGACTCCTTGGAGCATGAACTAGAAAATAAGAAAGGGAGATCTCTAGAGTTACTGCAGTACCAAACTCGGTTGAGACTGCTAATTGGGGGTCACATCTGTAGGCACCCAGAAATCATACTGCCTTCTGAATTCTTCAATGAGAAGAGGTGTTGATAAACCGGTGAAATTAAGAAGGTGGAATAACCTCAGTGGCTCTTTGTGGCTTATACTGGCTGTGATAAGGAAAGGGGTACAAAGCAAAGTGCCTTTGAGAGCACCTTCTAGGACTGGAGCGTGTCCAAGGAGCTGGCAGACACTGGAGCAGGAGTAGGCCCTGCAGTCACTCAGTTCTGTTTCCTGTCAAGCTCCCTTCTCTTGCAGTTGTGAATGACCAGTGTCCAGGATATGGAGATCAGGGAGATCCTGTGAGTTGAATGGGCCTCAGGTGGGGAGTGTGTAAAGAAAACAAGTGCAATTCACCAAGGCAGGAGCCAGAAGGGAAACTGCAACTTGGTGAACTTCAGTATGGTCTTCCAGCTGCAGAGGGCACAGGAATCAGGTGATACTAGGAACTGCATTACGAATCCATGAGAACTTCATGGTTTACAGCCCCAGCAGGTGATGGAATTAACTCAGGTTATAAACTGGATCACCTGTATTCCTTGCTGCCCTCCTTATGTAGAGGTCCTGCTGCTTTGTGTCAGGACAGGATGCAGAGGTAACAGGGTCACAGCAGTAGTTCACTGCAGCCAGTTTTCTTTGTGATCTCAGTGCAAAAAGAACTTGAAATATGAGTACGTTCCCAGGTCCGCGCATGCGCAGTAGGTTCCTGGGGCAGCGCATGCGCAGTAACGCGATTCGAACACCTTACTGCGCAGTAGTAAGATCCTGGGGCTGCGCATGCTTCATTAGGGACTGTAGTGACAGCACACGGGGTAACGGGTTAAAAGTTAACAGGGAAGTTTAGATTGGATATAAGGAGGAAATTCTTTCCTGTTAGGGTGGTGAGGCACTGGAATGGGTTGCCCAGGGAGGCTGTGACTGCTCCATCCTTGGCAGTGTTCAAGGCCAGGTTGGACTAGGCCTCGGGTGATAAGGTTTAGTGTGACATGTCCCTGCCCATGGCAGGGGGGTTGGAACTGGATGATCTTAAGGTCCTTTCCAACCCTAACTATTCTATGATTCTATTCTATCTCCCTTTATTCAAATAAGCCTCTACACTTCACTCTGCCTCATGAGGTGTTACCAAAAGCAGGTTTTCCCAACAAAGCTGAATAAAAAGTCATTAAAAGTAAATAGAATTGTACAAAAAATTGAGTAAAAGTAAGCAAAAGTAAACATGCCTCAATAAAAAGGGTACAAATGCAAACAGAAGTGATTAAAAACTGGAAAACAAAAAACCAAAATCTGAAAAACGTGACTAAAAAGCGAATATAAAGTGAACAAATAGAGAACAAAATTTAAAGTAGCTGAAAGTCAGTATTAAGTGAATACAACTCAATTAAAAAAATGATTAAATGAATAGAAGTGAACAGAAGTGAACAAAAGTGTCAAAACCTCCACTAAAACTCAAATTCATACAGTCGTATATAAACATGAAGTAAGTCAAATTTAATTAAATGCACTGATGAACTCTAAGTCCCCTAGTTCCTTCCCCCCCTCGCCGCTCCGGCCACCGCCGCTGGCACTGCCCACTGCCCTTGCCGCTCCTCCGGCGGCCGCCGCTCTTTTACTACCTCGCCACTGCCGCCGCAAGAGCCCCTTCCGGCGCTGGCACCGGCCCTCCCCCGCCGCTCCTGCCCCCTCCTTCCGAAACGACCCCGCGCCGCTCCAGCCGCCCCTGTTGCCGAAGCCGCCGCTATCTTCACCCCAGTCACCGCCGACGAAAAAACGGCTGCCACCCCAACCCCCCCCCCCCTTTATAGCCTCGCCCTCTCCCGCCTACCAGCCAATCACGGCGCCGCTCGCCTCACGGAGAGGGCGGGATATGGAGACGGAATGTCAGCGTCGTCCAATCCCTGGCCGCCTCTTAGATACAGCGAGCGGCTGAAGGGACCCTTTCCTGCCTAGAGACCGGCGGCCAATCAACGGTGTTCGTCGGTGTGACGGACCGATGGCTGCAGTCAGGGATGAAGGAGAAGAGGGCAGCGGCGGAGGGACCAGAACTGGTGCGCGAACACAGTGCTGAGACCAAATGCCTCCCATTACACCCCGGTTAACCCCCGTTACCTCCCATTACACCCTATTAGCCCCCATTCCCCCACCATAGCCCCCACTGCCCTGTATTAAAACTATAGAATCACGTAAGAGTTAGGGCTCAAAAGGACCTTAGGATCATGAGCTTCCAAGCCCCCTGCCATGGGAAGGGCCAGAATTTTCACTGCACTGCTCGGCATGGAACAGCACAGCTTGGCATGGTATAAATGGCAAAGAATGGATTAGAAATAGCCAAAAAAGGATTAAAAAAGGTAAGAAACTGGCAAAAGTAAGATAAAAATGATCATCAATAGCTTAGAAATAGTAAATGATGCTTAAAATATGGTACAAAGGGGCAAGAATGGACAAGAAACAGCCAAAAAAAGCTTAAACCTGGTGAGAAATGGGCAAAAATAGGATAGAAATGGCCATAATTTTTTTAATAGAATAGAAATGGCCATAATTTTTTTAGAAATAGCCAAAAAAGACTTAAAATGGGTTACAAATGGCCAGCAATGGGTTAGGAATGGGCAAAAATGGCTCAAACCAAGTAAGAAAAGGGTAAAAAAAGGTAAGAAATAGCAAGAAATTGGAAAGAACTGGACAAAAAAGGTTTGGGAATGGCCACAATGGCTTATAAAGAGTTAGAACTGGGCAAAATACGGCTAGAAATAGCTGAAACCAGTTCAGAAAAAGCTAAGAAAAGGTTCAAACAGGCTAGAAATGCCCATAAACAGTCCAAAAATAGCCAAAAATGGTATAAAATTAGTAACAAATTGGCAAAAAAAAAAGATAAAAATGACCGTGATCTGTATAGAAAAAGCAAAAGGAGTTAAAAGGAGTTAGAAATAGATAAAAATGTTTCAAACAAAGTGAGGAAAGGGCAAAACCAGGTTAGAAATGGCAGGAAATTGGAAACAGCAGGACAAAAACGGTTTGGAAACAGCCAAAATGGCTTCAGAAGAGTTAGAACTGGGCCAAAAAAGGGTTAGAAATAGGCCAAACTAGCTTAGAAATAGCTAAGAAAAGCTTAGAACAGTCTAGAAAAGGCCATAAATAGTTCAAAAATAGCCAAACTAGCTTAAAACTGGTAAGAAATGGGCAAAAATAAGATAGAAAAGAACATAAATTGTTTAAAAATAGCCAAAAAAGACTGAAAATGGGTTAGCAATGGGAAAAATGGGGTTAGAAACAGCCAAAATAATCTTAAAACTGGTAAGAAATGGGCAAAAGTAAAATAGGAATGACTAGCAATTGTTTAGAAATAGCCAAAAAAGAATTGAAATGGGAAAGAAAGGGCCAAAAATGGTTTAAACCAAGTCAGGAAAGGGCGAAACCAGGTCAGAAATGGCAAGAAATTGGTAAGAACCGGACAAAAACGGTTTGGAAATGGCCAAAATGGCTTATGAAGTGTTAGAACTGGACAAAAAAGGGTTAGAAATACCATAAGCCAGATTAGAAATAGCTAAGAGAAGATTCAAACAGGCAAGAAATGGCCATGAATTGTTCAGAAATAGCCAAAATCGGCTTAAAACTGGTGAGAAATGAGCAAAAATAAGACAGAAATGACTGTAAATTGTATAGAAATAGCACAAAGGAGATAAAAGGGGTTAGAAATGGATAAAAGTGGTTCAAACCAAGTCAGGAAAGGGCAAAAGTGGGTTAGAAATGGCAAGAAATCGGTAAGCACTGGACAAAAAATGGTTTGGGAATGGCCAAAATGGCTTAAAAAGAGTTAGAACTGGGCAAAAAAAGGTTAGAAATAGCTCAAGCCAGTTTAGAAATAGCTAAGGAAAGCTTAAAACAGGCTAGAAATGGCCATAAATTGTTCAGAAATAGCCAAAAAAAACTTCAAAAGGGTAAGAAATGGGCAAAAATAAGAAAGAAGTGGCCATCAATTGTTTAGAAATAGCCAAAAAAGACCTAAAATGGGTTACCAATGGGCAGAAATGGGTTAGAAATAGCCAAAAAAGGCTCAGAACTAGTAAGAAAAGGGCAAATATGAAATAGAAATGGCCACGAATTGTTTACAAATAGCCAAAAAAAAAACCAAACCCTTAAAATGGGTTTAGAAATGGGCACAAAAGGGTTAGAAAGGGCCATAAATGACTGACTCCTGCTCTGTAAAACACTGGGTCCTAAACTAGAAAGTTGAGGGGAAATGGTTGTTCCCAGCGTTGGGAAAGCTCCTGGCCATCCCTTAATGCACAGCATGAAGCTGTATCTTGGGTGCCTGCAGGGAACCTCTCAAGGCTGCCGTTGTCGGTGCTCTGGGAAGGCTGCCTCTTGCTCTGTGCACTGACCTTGAGGAGGTTGGGGAGCGGCCTTGAGGATCTGCCTGTACCTAAAGGACATCTTTCCACAGCCTGTCTGTGCCGTGTCCCAGCAAGTGGATGTCCTCAGTGATCAGGGTGGGCTCACCTTTGGAGTTAAGCCTACCTAGAGTGCTGCTTACTGATCTGAGCTCTCCTCCTGGCTTAAGGAACATGTGAGAATTGTCTGTAGTATCAGTCACAGTTGCAGTACCCTTTCCTCCTCCTCGCTGCCTGCCTGCCCTCCACTGAAAGCAGTCTCTCCCTGCTCTCCTAGAGGCATGGTTCTGTGCTCCCTGCTGCTAGGTAGTCACGGTCTTGGTGACCAGCTCAGCATCTCTGTGCTGGGGAAGGGGGGCACAAGCAGCTGTACCTGCAGGGGGGGATTCTGTGGGTGTTTTGGCTCTTGGGTGCATTGCTGGCTGTCTGGAGGTGTTGAATCCCTGGGTGAAGCCAACTCCGGTTGGAGGCACCTGCATGCAAAGCACAGCCCAGAGCGCTAAGAGCACATGGTGTCCATGCAGATAGAAGCACCGGCTGTGTGAGGGGGCTACCAATGAGCCAGGTATCTCCAGAGCTTCTCCTACCCCTAGGCAGCCCCCCTGGGTCAAGGCCCCACTGTGGCAGTGCTGGGAAGGGGCTGTCCCGTGCTTGCCATGGCCGAGGCATCTCCTGGGGCTGAGGCTCACTGGTAACTCTTGACTCTTGCTTCCTGCCAGATAAGCTGAAATCCACCAAAGAGGAGCATCTCTGCACGCAAAGAATGCTGGACCAGACCCTGCTAGACCTGAACGAGATGTAATGGATCCCCACCACTGCCTCTGCCACGCCATGCCCGCGCTGGCCCAGCCGCTGCTGGCCTCTAACCCTTGGGACCAGAGTTTGCTTCCTGTTGCTAACTTGACCGAACGCAGCTCTTCTCCCTTGCCTCGGGGTTAAAGGCCATCATCAGGTTGGGCAGAGCCTCAAACAACATTATTAAGGGAAACGAGCAATGCAATAATGTTTGGGAGCATGTTTTGAGATGTACCCGTTTTGTAAGTACCTTTTCTTTTTTGTAGTAACCAGTGTGAACATTCCAAGTAACCAGTGAGGCTGCTGAGCTGCACTCAAAGCTCTTGGCTTTACAATTGGGTATTAACCTTCTGTTAACCAGCTCTGGGTCATCCTGCCTTGGCTGGGGAGGGAGTGGGGGGCGGCTCGTGGTTCTGACTGTGGGCCACCTGATGGGAGCAGCTGGGATAGTGATGTGAGCCCATTGGGAAAAATCCCTTTCCAGGAGCCTGTTTGCCAAAAGAGCAGTTCAGTTTCTCAGCTTTAAGGTAACTTGTGGAGAAGCAACCTGGGTAGAAGGAGACTTCTAAAACCAGGCAGTTCCCTGCCCAGTTGAACCTTCACAGGGGTTGTTTCTCTTCTCTTCCCCCTCACTGTTAGCCACTTCTTTTCCCCTTGAAGAAGCCACGGCCCCTCTAACCCATTGCTACACAGGAGCTGAATTTGCCTTCACTGAGTGCTGACCCACCAAGCTTTAGCACTCAGTGCTGGCTTACACTCAACAGCTTAAGTACAACAGCCTTGTTCGCTTGGGGAAACTGTTTTTGCCTACCCCAAGGGAAGGGATCGAGGCCTTCTCCCCTGGCCAGGAGTGCTCTTAGTGTCTTAATAAGGTACAAGCCACCTTGCTGTGCATTGCTGATGTGTCGCTGTGAGGTGTGAGTGTGGAGACGTGTCAGGCTCACAGTGTGTAGCTTCTTGTGTGAGCATGCTGCCTGGTTGTAGCCGGTTTAGGGGCCAAGCCGGAGCAAAGAACCTTATCAAGTGTTTTGATACTAAATGGAACAATTGTCTTACTGTCTTTTGAAATAAACCCCCTCCCTCCACACTGCTGCCGAGCTTCCCTCTGTGCAGGGACCAGAGTGGCTTGAAGGTGATGCCCTCAAGCTCATATGCTCCTCCATTGCCTTTAGGGGTGAGAACTCCCCTTTAGGGTCAAGTTTATGTTGCTCCTGTTGTCTCTGGTGAGCAAGGGAGTGGTGAGGTGAGAAAGGGGGAAACGGGGGCTAAGGGAGGGGGATGGAGGGGCTTGGAACTGGATGAGCTTTAAGGTCCCCTTTCCAGCCCCTTTCCCCCCTCTCTCTCCTGGACCGCACTTGCTGCACACGGGGGGGGGTCTCACACTTTATTGCCTCATGCCCTCAGCCCGTGTACCCCAGACCCTCGTCGCTGCTGTCGGCATCAGGGCTGGGCTCCGGGGGGGCGCAGGCCAGGCAGACACGTCCTGCCTCGCGCCAGCACTGCCGGCAGTACGGGGCTGCACAGGCAGGTGCGGGGCAGGCGGGCTCTGGGGGCCCCACACGCACCCCACACACCGTGCAGCTCCGGCGCATCCAGTGGCTCAGGCAGGGCCAGCGGCGGCAGCACCAACGCAGTATCGCTGTGCCCTAGGGATGAAGATGTGTGGGGCTGAGCTGCAGGCCCCATGGCAGAGCAGAACCCTAGGGTTGGGGGGAACAGTGAAGCCCCACTCACCAGTCCTGGGGGCTGCTGTGCCCGCTGGATAATGCGCTTCCGCTGCCGCTGGATGAAGTCCAGGCGCTGCTGCAGCAGCTTGTTGTAGAGATAGAGCACGCGGCTCTTCTCCCGCTGCCAACACCATGAGCCCACCCCAAGGTTATGGTCCAGGTTATGGGCTCACCCCAAAATCTGCCCACCCCCCCCGAGGGGCTGCTATTCACCTTGGGGAAGTAGAAGGCGGCGATGACACGGCGCAGGCGGTATGTGTAGACCTGGGCCAGGCAGAGCAGCGCCAGCCCGGCCAGGGGCAGGCAGCTGCTCAGGTACTGGTGCTGGCTCATGCGGCGCGGCTGCGGCAGGCACACTGGGGACATGAGGTGGCGCTGAGCCCCTGCTCAGGCTGTGGAGCTGTGATGGGCATGGGGTGTCCAGCCCCTGGGGGGGGGCTCACCCAAGTTGGACGTCTCCAGCAGGGTGTCAGAGGAGGTGTTGAGGGCGCCGATGGTACTCCGCAGGAGCCGCGCCATCAGGGACGTGCCCGTAACGTGGATGGACAAGTGATGGCTGCCTGTGGGAGCATGTGAAGCTGTGAAGGGGCACACACAAGCATCCCCCCCCTCTGTGCATTGCTGTGGGCTTGGGGACTCACTGTGGAAGGAGTACTGCACAAAGGAGTGCTGCTGGATGGTGCTGAGCATGCTGACCAGCACGTGGTCCATGGCGCAGGCCAGCAGGAGGAAGAGCAGGGTAGGGATGCACTCCAGCAGCTCCAGCACCTGTGGGGAGCAGCATCTGCTGCAGCCTGTCCTGCAGCCTCCTCCAGCTGACCCACCTCCCGTCGTGTCACCCACCCGGCCCCCTCACCATGTTCTGCATCTCCAGCGGTTGCACCATGGGCCGGCACGGGAAGATGAAGGCCGAGGCCTCTGCACGGAGCAGCGGCAGCAGCGTCCGCTTGCCCTGGGAAAGGGGCAGGGGCAGCTCAGCACAGCCCCTGCAGCCCCCGGCCCTGGTGCAAGGCCACCTGCACCCCCTCACCTCCTTCCTGCGGCGTGCATCGATCTGACGGAAGTAGGTGGTGATGTAGAGGTTGTCGTAAGAGATGTCCTGACAATACCGCTTGGTGTAGGAGAAAGCCCTGGCAAGAGAAGGGGGGGTCCAGGGACTGGCTCTCCAGGATTCCTCCTTTGTCTTCATGCCTTTCCCCTCACCCCAGACCTGCTACCAAAAGAAGACCCTGTCTCTCTGTGCCCGAACCCCGCACGCCCTCCCATGCCAGGGCTCACGTGATGAAGACGAGGATGAAGGAGAAGGAAAGAACCAGGCGGAAGATGGAGAAAGTCTGGCCCAGGCGGGCACTGTGCTCCTGGAAGTGTGAGGTCAGTTCCTCCATCAGCTGCTCTGCAGACACGTTGGTGGTGACCGACAGCATCTCGCGGTGCTCCTCCTGCAGCACAGGGGCTGTGGGTCTGGCTGGGTCCCGTCCAAGCCTTGTGCCACACAGACGGTACATGGCACCCACCTGGAAGACCACGCTGGCGCTGAACTCCTGGCTGAGGTTGCTGACCGAGTTGTTCACCATGTCGTATGTTTGCCCAAAGTTGCCCTCCACGGGGATCTTGTCCCTGCACCAGCTATTCATAACTGTGGGACACAGTGAGGATGATGCTGGCATTGCCTCAACTCAGGGTGACCAGGGCAGGGGTCCCCCACGCTACCCACCCTTCACAATGTGGCAGAGGAACTTGAACTCCATGGGCAGGGCAGAGGAAGTGAAGGCAGAGGAAGTGGTTGACGAGGGGCACGAATATCTGCTCCATGCAAGCATCGTACTTGGTGTCAAACCAGTCCCGGCAGCGCTGCATGCCCAGCTCGACCACATCTGATGGACAGGAGCCTGAGCTGATACAGCCCCAACACCACCATCCCGGACACCACGTGTGGTGCCTGGTGAGGCTGGTGCCGGGGGGTGCAGCTCCCTTCCCTCCTCACCATTGCAGCGCATCTTGGTCTTGGTCTCATAGAGCTGCTGGGTGCTGGGTGCCAGCTGGGTCTTGCCGTGCTGGGGCTGCTGCAGGTCGTACCCAGCCTCGCTGGCCACCTCCTCATTGAGCCCCACAAAGGCACGTGAAATGTTCTGCACCTCAGAGTTCAGCATCTGCCCGCTCAGCTGCCACAGTGGGCACACACAGAGGCTTGACCCTGCTCCGTGCAGCCCCCCTCCCTCCTTCCCACCCCAACACCCTGCCTCACCGCCATGTCCTCCATCACCTTGCGCAGGGGCGCCGTGGACATGCGCCACAGCATGCGGCTGTGGTTGACCTGCAGCTCTGCCACGCAGCCCAGCGAGCGCATCACCTCCTCCAGGTTGTGCCAGATGTTGGCCACGGGCCCTGGTGCCAGCAAGTGGGGGTCAGGACCCTTGGGACCCTAAGGGTGGGACAGGGATGCAGGGGGCAACCTACCGTTGTAGATGGCAGCGAGGACAAGGGAAAGGACGTAGACCCGACCCTCCTTGCCGAAGAATTTGGGGACCACGAGCAGGCTGGCGCAGCGGAAATGGGGGGACGTGGCCCAGCCCAAGGCAGTCACTCCTGTGGGAGGATGGAGCTGTAGCCATGGTCCCATCGAGACCCCCCCAGTGCTCCCAATGGCGCCCATCAGCCCAAAAAGTTCCTCCTGGCCCCCTCCTCACCTGCCAGCCCATAGGAGAGCTGCACCTTATGCGTCTCTGTGATGTTCATGGGGATGACAAAGACCTGGCAGAGCCCTGCAACAGCAGCAGATGCACCCTGAGCCCCTGGTACCCCCAGCTTCTCGCCACACCTGGCACCGGGAGCACTCACCAAGGCCAAGGAGGATCCCGATGCTGGCAGCCAGGAAGAACTTGCTGCAGCGGTGCTGGTCCGGCTGGCTCCAGAGGACCCGGCTGCACGGGGCCCGGCAGCAGCGAGACCACCGCTCGCTGCAGGGCTGGGTGGGGGAGAGAGGCGCTGCAGCCGGGCCTCCTCCCAGTGCCCACGGGCAGCCCTGGCCGGGAGAGGAGGGGAAGGGATCTCCCTCGTGTTGGGTGGCTTCTGCCTCCTGCGCGCCTCAGACCCGGCCCAGCGCTCTCGCCCAGGGGCCTCCGATGGCTCCATGGCCCCTGTCCTGAGGGCAGCAGGATGCTGCCCTGGTGCAGACAACAGGGATGCTGCCCTGGTACCAGCAACAGGGGGATGCTGCCCTGGTGCAGACAACAGGGATGCTGCCCTGGTACCAGCAACAGGGGGATGCTGCCCTGGTGCAGACAACAGGGATGCTGCCCTGGTACCAGCAACAGAAGGATCCTCCCCTGGTACCAGCAACAGAGGGATACTGCCCTGGCAACAACAACAGAGGGATGCTGCCCTGGTAGTGATGACAATGGGATGCTGCCCTGGCAACAACAGCAGGATGCTTCCCTAGAACTGACAACGGCAGGATGCTCTTCTAGAACCGACAGCCGTGGAATGCTCGACTGGCACCGACAACATTGAGGTGCTCCCCTGGAACCAGCTCACTGAGCTGCTCCTTCAGTCTGCTGTATCCCTGTGCCTAGAGCCTGGGAGAGCACCGAGAGTCCGGGGGAGCGCAGCCCAGCATGGGGCTGGTCTCGTGGGCGGGGCGGAGGGGCCAGGACCAGAGCCCAGAGTCCCAAGACTGGGACTAGGTCCAGCAGCACCTAGGCTCTGTCAGGGGTTTAGGAAGCAAAGGGGTCTAGCGTGAATCTCGTGAACAAGTGGGTGTCCCTTATTTCTTTGTATTTTCAGTCCCTGTACACATAATTTCAATTCAATTCTGGATAAATCGCCTAAACCCAATCCTGTGTAAACACTCCCCTGGAGGATTTTGAGTCCTTGGGGGATTATGGGGCTTGGGGGGCTCCAGGGGGGTCTGCCCATGTTTCCCCCCAGGCGCAACGTGGGGCCCGATGCGGGTGGCTGCAGATGATGGCTCGGCAGTGGATGGGCTGAACCTGGGGGCCCTGGCGGTGGTCCTCATTTTTGAAAATGTATTTCTCTGTGTCTACAAAGTCCACTAATCCTGGAAACTTTTTTTTGACTATCCACATGTTGAATCATAGACTGTAAGTTTGAAGAAAAAAATCATGATCATGACGAAGAAGGATTGATGTAGGAAACAATTCTGTCAGAGGTACTAAACAAAGATAGGAGACAGTGTTACATCTGGAAACCACGTGTGTCAGACACGGATGCTCATTCCAAGACTGGCCTTTGGCTTAGGTTTCTCTGTTTAGTTCTGTTCATTCTTGAGGTGTAACAGGCATAAGCTTCATTGTTAACCTGAAATGCAGATAAGATTACCAGGATTTATATAATCTTTGTGCAAATTCAACTACCAAATGAGATGGTTGCTCGGTTCCTAGAAAATGTTCAATTACCAAAGTACTTCCATGCAGAGATATCGTAGTTCTGCATGTTAGTGGAGACCTATGACAGATGGTTTCAGGTTGATCATCAGCTATCACCCAGTTTTTCTGATCTGAAGTCACAAGGTAATTTTTTTCAGGCAGATATTAATCTGGGTTATATCTTTCAAGTAGCAGCCAAAATTAAACAACCTATCTTATCTTGGAAAGTGAATTTAAGGAATCATTTGAAAGACCCTGCAAGGTTAAATGAAGAGAAAATGCCAAGTACACCCATATGAAGACTCAACCTTTCTTGCTGAATTTGTCTAAATATTCTTCTATCTCCAGTTGTTTTTAAGATGTGAAGACCTGCATTTGACTGGTGTTGCAATGTCATCTATGTAAAGCTTTACTCATACAGTGTCCATTTCATGTATGCTTGGCTCAGTCAAGGCTTAGAAACAAAGAATAAATTTTTAAAATTAACACGAACAAATTCCAAGAATGAGAAGATGTCTCTCAGGAGTTTCAAAGGAACACGAAACGAGTAATGTTAACAGGGCAGGGAAGGGAAGGTATCAAGTAAGTGAACACTGAATGCAAATGGAAAACCCTGAACCAGACATGTCTGATGGAGATTTAGCCTGGAGAAGAGAAGGCTACGTGGGACCTCACAGCAACCTTCCAGTATCTGAAGGGGAGCTATAGGGATGCTGGGGATGGATTATTCATTAGGGACTGTAGTGACAGCACACGGGGTAATGGGTTAAAACTTAAACAGGGGAAGTTTAGATTGGATATAAGGAGGAAATTCTTTCCTGTTAGGGTGGTGAGGCACTGGAATGGATTGCCCAGGGAGGCTGCGACTGCTCCATCCTTGGCAGTGTTCAAGGCCAGGTTGGACTAGGCCTTGGGTGATAAGGTTTAGTGTGACATGTCCCTGCCCATGGCAGGGGGGTTGGAACTGGATGATCTGAAGGTCCTTTCCAACCCTAACTATTCTATGATTCTATTCTATCTCCCTTTATTCAAATAAACCTTTACACTTCACTCTGCCTCACGAGGTGTTACCAAAAGCAGGTTTTCCCAACAAAGCTGAATAAAAAGTCATTAAAAGTAAACAGAACTGTACAAAAAATTGAGTAAAAGTAAGCAAAAGTAAACATGCCTCAATAAAAAGGGTATAAATGCAAACAGAAGTGATTAAAAACCGGAAAACAAAAAACCCAAACCTGAAAAATGTGACTAAAAAGTGAATATAAAGTGAACAAATAGAGAACAAAATTTAAAGTGGCTGAAAGTCAGTATTAAGTGAATACAACTCAATTAAAAAAATGATTAAATGAATAGAAGTGAACAGAAGTGAACAAAAGTGTCAAAACCTCCACTAAAACTCAAATTTATACAGTCGTATATAAACATGAAGTCAGTCAAATTTAATTAAATGCACTGATGAACTCTAAGTCCCCTAGTTCCTTCCCCCCCCACCCCCCGCCGCTCCGGCCACCGCCGCTGGCACTGCCCACTGCCCTTGCCGCTCCTCCTACTGCAGCTCCGGCGGCCGCCGCTCTTTTACTACCTCACCGCTGCCGCCGCAAGAGCCCCTTCCGGCGCTGCCACCGGCCCTCCCCCGCCGCTCCTGCCGCCTCCTTCCGAGATGACCCCGCGCCGCTCCAGCCGCCCCTGTTGCCGAAGCAGCCGCTGCCGAGACCGCCGCTATCTTCACCCCAGTCACCGCGGACGAAAAAACGGCTGCCACCGCCACAACACCACCCCCCCCCCCCCCCCCCACCGCCCTCGCCCTTTCCTGCCTACCAGCCAATCACGGCGCCGCTCGCCTCACGGAGAGGGCGGGACATGGAGACGGAATGTCAGCGACGTCCAGTCCCTGGCCGCCTCTTAGATAACAGCGAGCGCCTGAGGGGACCCTTTCCTGCCTAGAGACCGGCGGCCAATCAATGGTGTTCGTCGGTGCGAGGGACCGATGGCTGCAGTCAGGGATGAAGGAGAAGAGGGCAGCGGCGGAGGGTCCAGAACTGGTGCGCGAACACCGTGCTGCGGCCACATGCCTCCCATTACACCCCGATTAACCCCCGTTACCTCCCATTACACCCTACTAGCCCCCATTCCCCCACCATAGCCCCCACAGCCCTGTATTAAAACTATAGAATCACATAAGAGTTAGGGTTCGAAAGGACCTTAGGATCATGAGCTTCCAAGCCCCCTGACATGGGAAGGGCCAGAATTTTCACTGCACTGCTCGGCACGGAACAGCACAGCTCGGCATGGTATAAATGGGGTACAAATGGCAAAGAATGAATTAGAAATAACCAAAAAAGGCTTAGAAAAGGTAAGAAATTGGCAAAAGTAAGATAAAAATGATCATCAATAGCTTAGAAATAGTAAACGATGCTTAAAATACGGTACAAAGGGGCAAGAATGGACAAGAAAGAGCCAAAAAAGGCTTAAACCTGGTGAGAAATGGGCAAAAGTAGGATAGAAATAGCCATAATTTTTTTAGAAATAGCCAAAAAAGACTTAAAATGGGTTACAAATGGCCAGCAATGGGTTAGGAATGGGCAAAAATGGCTCAAACCAAGTCAGGAAAGGGCAAAACCAGGTCAGAAATGGCAAGAAATTGGTAAGAAAAGGAGAAAAATGGTTTGGGAATGGCCAAAATGGCTTATAAAGAGTTAGAACTGGGCAATTAGGGCTAGACAAAGAGCCCAAACCAGTTCAGAAAAAGCTAAGAAAAGGTTCAAACAGGCTAGAAATGCCCATAAAGAGTCAAAAAATAGCCAAAAATGGTATAAAACTAGTAACAAATCGGCAAAAAAAAGATAAAAATGACCGTGATCTGTATAGAAAAAGCAAAAGGAGTTAAAAGGAGTTAGAAATAGATAAAAATGTTTCAAACTAAGTGAGGAAAGGGCAAAACCAGGTTAGAAATGGCAGGAAATTGGAAAGAACAGGACAAAAACGGTTTGGAAATAGGCAAAATGGCTTAAGAAGAGTTAGAACTGGGCCAAAAAGGGGTTAGAAATAGGCCAAACTAGCTTAGAAATAGCTAAGAAAAGCTTAGAACAGGCTAGAAAAGGCCATAAATAGTTCAGAAATAGCCAAAATAGCTTAAAACTGGTAAGAAATGGACAAAAATAAGATAGAAAAGGCCATCAATTGTTTAGAAATAGCCAAAAAAGACTAAAAATGGGTTAGCAATGGGAAAAATGGGTTAGAAACAGCCAAAGTAATCTTAAAACTGGTCAGAAATGGACAAAAGTAAGATAGGAATGACTAGCAATTGTTTAGAAATAGCC